GTTCCTCCCAGTGGACCTTCTTACTCCTCACCACTGGTACAACACTTCATTGGAAGCCCCGCCTGGCTCAGTGATCCGGGGCCACAGTTTTAACATTACCTGCTCCACACTGCAGCAGTATCCTGGAGCCTCTTTTCAGCTGCGCCTGGTCCGCTCAAATGGGACAGTCCGGCACTCTCTTCCCGCACTCACGCCCTCTGTTACCTTCACTTTCCCCAGTGCTCAAACCTCAGACGAGGGCTATTACTACTGTCTGTACAGGGTCCAGCTCGGGGGCCGCACATTTGTGTCCAGAGAGAGTCAGCCACTGCCCATTTCTGTCAGAGGTAAGGCCAAATGAACTGATTAGAGCTGCTAAAGTATGAGATAAAATACAGTCCCTGACAAAAGTCTTGTCGCTTATCCATTTTGTAGAAACAAAAGCTTATAACCCGACTTTAAATTCATCGATTGGTTTTAGAAATGTCTCATATGAAAGCTAAAACCCTCCCAAATTATGCTCAATATACTAAAATAAATTTGCTTCACTGAAGAAAGATTGATAATTTAATGAACACAGGTCAGATTTTGGCAAGACAAAAGTTTTGTCGCCTACAGAAAATTTAACAAATAATTTACTTCAAATACAAAAATATGTTGCATAACGTCAGTGAATTAAGTAGTGGTGCTGTGAGATCCATATTTAATATCTTGTATGATTTCCATGAGCTTGAAGGACTGCATCCATGCGGTTCAACAATGATTCATACAATTTGTTGATGAAGTAATCAGGAATAGCAAAGAAAGCAGTCTTACATGCCTCCCAGAGTTCATCAAGATTCTTTGGTTTTGCCTTCCATGCTTCCTCTTTCATTCTACCCCAGACATGCTCAATGATGTTCATGTCTGGTGACTGGGCTGGCCAGTCCTGGAGCACCTTGATCTTCTTTGCCTTGAGAAACTTTAATGTAGAGATAGAAGTATGCGGTGGAGCACCATCCTGCTGCAAAATTTAACCCCTTTTATGGTTGGGAATGTAAGAGGTAGCTAATACTTCTTGATATTTTAGGCTATTGATATTGCCTTCCACCCTGCAAATGTCTCGCACACCCCCATACTGGATGTAACCCCAGACCATGATTTTTCCGCCACCAAACTTAACTGGTTTCTGGGTGAATCTTGGATCCGTGCGGGCTCCAGTAGGTCTCCTGCAATATTTGGTGGCTGTGATGTAATTCAACTGAGGATTCATCTGAGAAATCCACCTTCTGGCACTTTACCAGTGTCCATCCTTTTAGCAGGCTGTGGGCCTTGGCAAATGCCACACGGTTTTTTAATTGCCTTTTGTTTAGTGCTGGTTTCTGTGCACTGATTTGACCATGGAGGCCATTTCGAGACAGAATTCTACAAACTGTTCTGGTTGACACGGGGACTTGAGGTGACCAGGCCTGGTGGAGCTCTGCTGCAGTGGAAAAGGGGCTGGCCTTGAATTTTTGAATCAACAAACGGTCCTCCCGAGCAGTTGTCTTGTGGGGTCTGCCGGACCTGGGCTTGTCAAAAACAACTCCAGTCATTTCAGATCTTTTTCTTATTCTTTGTACTTGATGCTGAGACACATTGAAGGTGTCAGCCACCTCAGCAGTGGATCTGGTCTTCAGCTTCTTGATAATTAACGCTTTGGTCTCAGGGTGGATCTTAGGCATGTTGTCAGAGGTCAAGTTGTAGTTGATGTGAAGGTCTGGTGTGCTGGGGTTCTTTTTATACACACCCACTAATTGATTGATCAGTAACTGATCACAGGTGAGGCTGTAATCTAGGATTGGGTGCATCATATGACAAGGCAACAAGTCTTTTGTCTTGCCAAAATCTGACCTTTCTGTGTTCATTAAATGATCAATCTTTCTTCAGTGAAGCAAATTTATTTTAGTATATTGAGCATAATTTGGGAGGGTTTTAGCTTTCATATGAGACATTTCTAAAACCAATCGATTAATTTAAAGTCAGATTATAAGCTTTTGTTTCTACAAAACGGATAAGCGACAAGACTTTTGTCAGGGACTGTATAGATATAACTGATTGTCTGTTGTCCCTAAAACAAACACTACACTGATTGTCTCTATAGACCCGGACCCTTTGCTGAGCCCAATGGTGATCAGCTGGCTGGTGTCAGGCCTCACGTTTGTTGTAGCTGTCATCTTCATTATAACTGTCGCCAAAGTCCTGTGTAAAAAACAGAAACAGCCGTCCGAACTGGAGAGAGAGACTCGAACCTGTGAGTTTTCATTGTCACAGTAAGCATGTGTTCTGGGCTTGTTAATGCTTACAGAGCAAAAAATGTGTTGTAACTAGTAAAATATTACATCTTTTATTGATATTGTGGTTTAAAATTACAGGTGTGGACAACACTTACGTTGCCTTATCGATAAACAAGTTATGACCATGGATTGTAAACAGAAGGTATGATTTTTGTAATAATAGCATTAACTGCGTGCCTTTAGTGTTGTAGGTATGTCTGTTTGTGGCACTTCATACACATGTGTAATAAATCTGAATCCTTTTAATAGTCACATACAATGGTAATTTGACTTAAATACTCAAATAAGTGAAAATGCTATCATAGCATGCTTCATTTAATTATTTTCATTTTAATAATGCACTGAACTGCACAATGCAAAGAGTACCTGCTCATTGTTGTTTATTTCTTCTTGTTGCAGCAGGGTACGTCCGCCTGACTGGACTGGACTCTACTGGGACCAGTTCTCTGCACATTTGAATGAGCCACTGAACACTATGGAGCTGGATATCCTATTCACTAACTATATACAAATCAACCATAGTATCTAACATTTAACAAAAGAAAGCCACAGTGCATAAGCTGGTTTAGGTACATTTTTGTTCATTACCACAAAAATATACAGGGATTTTTTTTTGTCTGACTGGGAGACTGTGACTGTTGAGTTTGTATAATGCTGTAAATGCACTGCTTATTTATTAAAGTTACAGTAACAGTTCATTTTTAAAATTTGTGTTCCTCACCTGTAAGGATCACCTAAAATTTCAACTATGCATTGTTTATTTAATTTTTTTTTTATTATAGTGCAAAAAACTATGTAAATATAAACGGTTTACTGATAGAAAATATTAAAAATTATGAATACAAGCATGTTTCAGTTTTATTCATATCCTATCTGTAGCAAAAGTATTGTTCTATATTTCACTGTTTTTCCTTCCACCTGTCCAGGCAATGACTAATTATCACTTATCTAATTAGCCAAAAAATACCATGGACAATTTATCACAAGTTATACATGTTGGATATCTTGCTGTCTAATGGATAAACACAGCTGTTTTAAGCATTTTACATTTACTGCATATTTAAACAACAGTGAATTTGGGCAAGAATTTGTACAAATACAGAACTACAGAATTAACAAACAGCATTCAATATTGTTTAGTGGGTTTAAAAGCATGTGTACAATTATACAGAACGCAATTACATAAAAACATTTTTCAATACAAATAAAGCTACAATGGCAGCTTCTTCTACCACAATCTTGGGAAATTATTGAAATAGTGCATTAAATGGACTGAGCTATAGGTATATAAAAGGCATAGCACAAACAACAACAACCCTCAAAAGGTTAAATACCCTTTAAAACAAAAGTATTAATGATTGATCTTAATTTACATTCACTCAATGCCTTTGATGTTCTCATTTGACTCCATACTGGAAAATACAATGTAGAGGAAAATTAACACCACAAGGAAGAAAATCACCTGAAACCAAGGCGGGACGAACCCTGAGGATTTGGGGGCTGGAGAGGCAACAGAGCTCTTTGGATCTCCATAATTCAACGATGGTGATTTTAAATGGGAGCTTTTGTAGGAGGTTGGTGTGCTGTAGGTGTACGGCCTGAAATCAGAAAGCAAAGCACTAAACACAAATGTGAAGTCAAGTTGATATGAAAGGGTATAAAGCAGGGTTCCCACTGTAATGACACAATTGTAAATACCATTTTCTGATATGTGATACCACTTATTATTGTTTGTTTTCATTCATTGGCATAGCATCAAACTCCAAGCAACAACCTTTGTGCCTGAGAAGGGCAAAAGGCAGAATAACAGAACAATATACAAGAAGTTCAAGCGTCATGAGCTTTGGCAGTGCTTAATTTGTAAAGCAGTAGTTACTGGAGCACTTCGATTGGTGTCGTAAATTGGATCAGGCCAAAAAAGTTGATGAGACACATATTAAGTGCTATTATACTGTATTACTATTGTTACCATACTCTGATCCATAATATTTCCCAGACCCTTGACCCCTTTAAAAGTGTCTGCAAAAGCAATGAGGATACATTTAAGCACTGTTTTCTACAAAAAGGCATTGTCATTAGAAACCAGTGGGAACCCTGAAAAAGATCTGACATTATTAAGTAACAAACATACTCATCAGCATAATCTCTTCCTCGATAATCAGGTGTGGATCTTGAATAGCTTGAATATGAAGCCCTGCAAAAGACAGATACTGTTTCACTGAATGTTTTATTTATACAGAGTTAAAAAATAGTATTACTCACTCATTTTGATACTCTCTTTCAGTCCACTCTGGTCTTGATCTCATGTATGCCCCACTGCTAATATGCATAAATATATAATATCTTTATGGTAAAAGCCAATGAAATGTATTATTTCTCAAACTGACCTGTCCCCTGCTGGTCCTGCTCTGACCTGAAATAAGTGACAATATTAACATTACTGAATAAACTATGAATTTAAACCAAATCCTGAAAGGGTCATGGTGCAGGCACTTACTGGAGTTCGGGTCACGTATGTCACAACTTCTTCTTCTAAAATGAAATTGAAATGAAAGAGAAATATTGTGTCAATGCCATAATGAAACACACGTGATTCAATATAATAGTGCTTGTGTGTTATTACATTGAATAAGTTAAAACACCTTTTTAAACTAATCTTTGTTTCTCAAAGGGGGTTTTGAAACCTCTGGTAAATATTTAATAAGACTGGACGAACATAATTTTAAAAAAATAGACAACATTATTAGTGGATGACTTTAACATGTGAGTTGTACCCTCTTCTCTGTAGTAAGTTTTATCTGATGAAGGTTTCTTTGCTTTGGCCATGGCCTCTCGTAGTTTTTTCTCGTACAGACTTCTAGTGGAGTCTAAAGAGTGAGAAAAGGGATTCAGATTATAGAAGTTCAAACAGAAATAGCCAACACATGAGTCACTCTTAACTTTGGACCGACTGAGCCAAACTCACCGACAATGGGCCCGTGCTTAATGCCATACTCATCCAGCAGCTCACGGAGTTCATCCGCTGTCCTTTCACTCAAGTTAGCCATGTATAAATCTACCTATCCTAAAATGAACAAATATCCAGGGGGCAGTTCAGAAGTTTTCTTTTCTTTTTCTTCTGTCAAGCGTTCATGTCTGTTAGAAAGGAAAACACGAATGACTCCTCCTACTTGTGCTCGTTTAGTATCACGGAGTCGACCGTTTAGTTGTTATGAGGCTGATTGCATTGTTGAGGTTTCAGCATCGCCCCTGCACCGCCCGCGCGGTTTATACAGGTGAGTAAAACATACGTGTGTCCTTAGCGAATCTGTTCTTCTTCTGCGTATGATATTTTGTTGGCGGCTTACAAACCACCATCCCACACTAGATACTGCTCTCTAGTGTACAAATGTGTACAAACATGAAACTGTAGCACTTTTTTTATTACAAGCCATAGCATATACATTCTATGTTACCAGCACAGGCGCAACACTAAATAATCAAACAAGCGTTTTTTATATAAACAATAGTGGAAAAGGGTGAATCCTTTTTCCCCCTTTTCTTAAAGGGCAAAATTAAGCCACTCTTCTGCATCTGTGACCCACCAGAACATAATCAGTCCCATCACAACGACCAGGAAAAGGCTCAATATCGACTTCATCACGACGAAACTCTGCAGGAAGAAACACCACAACAAAAAGTAAGGAAAAATCACAGGACGGGGGCCTAATAATGCAAGTATGTTTGATAAAATGTCTACCCTGTGGTTTCTGTTGCAGGCTGGTTTGTTGATGCTCTCTGTAATTTGGTCAGGTATTTCTTGAAGATTTGGTAAATCCATGAGAGTTGAGTCTTCAACTTCCTCAAGCTCCTGGGAGGATGATAAAACCTCTTCATCTGAACTCACAGATGGACATGTCTCAACCTCATATGTTTGATTATTTCCATCCTCCTCATCCTCCCCTTCTTCCCCCCCTTCAACCTCTTCATCCTCCCCTTCTACCTCCCCCTCAATCTCCTCCTCCCCACCTTCTTCCTCCCCCTCGACCTCCTCCCCCTCCTCTTCTTTCTTCTCCTCCTCCTCTGCCTCCTCCTCCCCCTCTTCTTCTTTCTTCTCCTCCTCCTCTGCCTCCTCCTCCCCCTCTTCTTCTTTCTTCTCCTCCTCCTCTGCCTCCTCCTCCCCCTCTTCTTCTTTCTTCTCCTCCTCCTCTTCTTTCTTCTCCTCCTTCTCCTCCTCCTCCAGCTCCTCCTCCTCCACCTCCTCCTCCTTCTCGTCTGAAGAACTGCTTAATTCTCTGCTGCTGAGCAAGTAAATGCACATTTTATTCACAGAGGTTTCACAAAATACCTTGAAAGACCAATTTTACACTTTATTTAAGTCCACTCACCTGTCTGTGTCATAATGGATCACATGGGACAATGTTTCCAAACAAAACTGGACCTTTGTCTGTCTCTCTGAAACAAAAGTAAAAAAAATGATTACACAACTTACGTTTGTACATACCAAATTATTCCACAATTTACTCCAATCAGTTGCCTACCTTTTATCAACTCACCTTCCTTGTTATTGTCTTCACCTTGGTCATCATAAAATCTGTAAAATGCCTGGATCCTCGCCTGCTCCCTCCTCCTCTCCTCCTCTTCATCTTCCTCCATCTCTCCCTCCTTCATCTCCTCATACACTTTTGGTTCGTCATTAAAAAAGAAACTATCATCTACTGACCCACAACTCGAGTACATTGTGGTTTGGACTTCTTCCCCCGTCAGACAAATCTCACCTTGACTCATATTTGGAATATTTTCTTCTGTAGTTTCTGCTTCTCGCTCCCAGGTGACATTTAAATCAGTTTTATCTGCAGTTACCCCTTTTGAAGCTTCAGACATACTCCATGTTGAAAGCACATCTTCATTCCAACTTTGAAGAGTGTCATTATCTTGTTTTTCTTTTAATTTTAAACATAAATCTTGATTATTAGTAATGTCCCATTTATCCAACTCTTCTTTGCTGATGTCACTGTTTTCACCTATGCAATCTTTCATAGCTCCATTCTTCAAAAATATGTCTTCTTGTTTTGCACATTCATATTCTGTTGTACTTTCAGTTGTGCAATCACGCTCCGATTCAAAGTAACTTGGTTCGTCATTTCTTGTACTGTCGATATATTCACATGAAGAAAAATCAGACGGATAATCTGCAAAACTCTCTCCTGCTTCTTGGTGCTCCTCTTCTGAAAAATGTTCCATCTTGTCTATATCCTCATTCAACTCGTCTATCCCATCATATGACATTTCTGGATATTCCAAAGTATATTCAACTTGGAAGAACATGGTTTTTGCTGATTCTGTTTGGTCCTCCTCACTGCTATCATCTTGTATCAGCAAATGGCCTTCATTTCCCTGGATGATACCAAAATATCCTCCCTCCTCTATCGCTTCTCCTTCTTCCTGGTTGCTATCTTGAGTGCTGTCCTTTTGCCCCAGATCCTGTCCCATTGCATAGACTCGTTCACTGTAATTGCTGCAGTGAATAGTCTTTAAGAAGTCCCCAGGATTTTGTTCAATTTCACCTTCATCATCTCCTCTCTCTTCCTCCGAGCTCAGGCAATCCTCAGCTCTCACTTTGATCTTTATGTTTTCAGTATTTATAGCACTAAATGTCTCTTTGTAAGTAGTGGAATAAGTAGAAGGAGTTTCTGGGATAGGTGTAATATCTTCCTTGTTTACGGTGTTTTCTTGATTCAAAAAACACCTCTCATAGTTTGGATTGAGGCCATTTTGAGACAGATTTTGTCCCGCTGCGTTGAACTCTACATAATCATTGCTTTGAATCTGATCAATAAAATCCTTATCAATTTCAATTTCATCCTCTTCACGCTCTTTCTCTGAGCTTGAGTAATTCTCCTGACTATTATATTTAGTATCTAAAAGCTTGTGTTCATTTGAATAAATACATGCAGAGGCCGTTTCCACCATAAGAGAGCTGTCTTCCTGGTCTACGGTGCTGTTGTCCTGACTCAAATTGGTACCATCCACTTTAATATCTAGATTTTCAAAGTCTAAGTCGTCATCATCGGGGAATGAAGGAACAGAGCTTTCTGAAAGTATACATGCAATATATGCATTTCAATATATCAGACATGATAATTATAAAATATACTGTCCTAGATAAATTTGGTAGTGCAATAAAATAAAATTAAAATGCTGTCTATTTATTAATTACAGTAAAATATAATATAAGATATAATAAAAATACATAATAAATTAAAACAAGGCAATTCTGTTTATTATTCCAGTACTAAACCTAATAATATTGTATGATAAAAAAAAAATTGTTCTCACCTGTAAATGCATCACTGAGTAGATCAGCAATGCTTTTGTCCATGTTTAAAAATCAACAGTAAATAATATTTGCTGAAATAAACATAACCTTCACTCAAGTATTTATCTCTGAAAAGAAGAGACCACAAACAAACTGAGCTGTCGGAGGCACTTCCTGTTGAATGAAGGCTGCACCAGATCAAGTCACCGCTCTTGAAATGCAGACTGTTTTAAAATGTTGTATTGTCTCATGCATTATAGGATGGAGGTCACTGAGTGGAAAACCTATAGTCTAATATTGTATAATTCTGCTTGCTGTATAACCAGCGTTAAATGACCTCATTCACACTTGCACATTCTGCACAAATACTGTATTTGAGTGCATTAAGGTGTAATGTCATATGTTCTTCAGTTTAAGCTACCATTAAGTGGACTTCAAGGTTTTATGTAAGCGTGCAGGTCTGTAAATTAAAAGATGAGCAAAAAATATAAAATAAAGACATCTGCTAAAATGTATATACATACATAAAAACAGTTAATGCTCTAAATTATGTGGCCTGGCCAGCCAAAAGAGGAGAGCCTGTAAAATATACTGAGGAAAAGAGTCAATACCACTGTGATCATAAAAAAATAAAAAATAAAAACATTTGAAGAGAAATTTATGTAATTGTAAAATAAAGTTGTGCTAGATTTTCAAATATATTATATTAATATGTGGTCCTAGATGAGCTTTGAAATAGACCATTCAAAAACTATTCAAGAAAGATTCAACTTCAACTACTTCTTCATATGACATTCATAGTATTTCTGGCTTTATTACTTGTTTGAGTATTTATTAGTATTTGGGTGTCATTCAACCTTTGTCTGCATATACATGTCTTTTGAGTATTAAAGCTGAGTGTATTTGTCTGTCTAAATGTCTCCCCATTTTGTTACTGCTGAGTTATTTCTGACATTTATTTCATTCTTGCTCTATACTGACAGCTTGTCAGTAGTAACTAGAAAACAATTTAAGACAGTTGACACTTGTTTTGTGGACTGTGTCATTTAAATTAATATATAATCAGCATTAATAATAATACCATACCATAATACATACAATGCTAATAAATAAATTAGTCTTTATTAAACAGTCTTGTCTGGTGATTTTTGGTTCACAGCTCGTGGCGAAGCAGGTAGCGATGATTTGGCTTCAGCTCCACCTCCACAGGGAAATGATCGCTCACTTCAAGAGCCTTTGGAAATATGAACAGTTATTAAAATACGAAGAGAAATAATATTGATCATTTTGAGATATTATAAGATTACCTCCTCCTCAGTGAGATGAAAGTTTTCTTTGAAGTTGAACGGTTGAGCTGAACCTGGGATGATGCTAGAAATGATCTCTCGACCGTGGACAATGATCCTGAAGCAGATCACAACAAACAAATTTTATTTATTAATTTATCAGTGACAAATGTGTCATGATATTTCCTGTATTGCACAGACTTTAACACATGTACTGGGAAAACACTATGTGTTATTAATATAAGTCTGTTTTTATCTCAAAGGTGTAAAAATGCCTAACTAATTGAAAAAACTAATTACTAAAATGTGTGTTAGTTGTAGGCCTATTTACATCTCCAAAGCTCAAAATGCCCTGTTCCACCTTGTGATGTCATGAAGCAATAGTTTTCAAGTTAACAGCTCCTTTTACCTTTAGTTCAATAGAGATATGCAATTTCATGGCTGAATCATTATCTAAATGATTCTAGTGAAGGTGTGTGGAGTTTAAAAACACAATGGAGCACTTCCTGTTTACCACATGACATCACAAATTGAAACAGAGTGTTTTTTGGTTGATAAAAGAACACAGCCTAAATATGCAGGGTTTGTGTGTTAAACATGTGAATGAAATGCAACTGAAGGTACAGTATGTTTTTGATGAGGGAACAGCTTTGTAACATAGATGAGAAAATAATATAGGCTCCTTAATTTTAGATGGAAGAGCAGTCGGCCCTCTCCTCAGTGTAGACATGATTGACAGCTGAGAAGTCAAGGAAGGATGCAGTCCATAGATTATACTATTCATGACCCGCACTGACCGGTCGTAGGCGCAGTGTGTCTTCTCTCTCACAGTGGTGTCCTGGTCATCTCCGATGAGCCACTGGAACCTGGGGTCGCCTCTCAGCCGCACGCTCCTCCAGCCCTTCTGTGTGACGTAGTGACAAGCAGCATTCAGGTCGCCCAAAATCATTACATTCTGACCCAGAAGAGAGGAAAATATGAAAATAAGTTGGATTCCGGTTGCTCTTATAGGGATGGACCATATATCAGTGCTAATGACAATAAACATAAACTACAGCAGACACATACAATTGAGTGGCTCTTGCTATGGACTATGGACTTGAAAATATTGATATTAAACAATCATGGGTTTCAGCATTCTATTTATAGGTTATATATTAGGACTCAGTGATTTAAAAGTTATAATATTTAGTTTTGAATTGTTTATTGCAGTGCTCTGAAACTCATGGGTAGGTCAGTGGCAACAACAGCAATGTCTGGCTATGAACCGCAAACACTGGACAATCCTAGCACTTACTTCAGTTTTCCATTTCTTGTAAATGCCTTTGAATACTGTGTACAGCTCATCAATCTCTTTCATGGCATTTTTGGGACAGGTGTGTTGACCAATCAGAATCAAGTCTTTCATCACTGTAAAAAGTGGCAAAAATACACATTTATACATTTTTTTGCCCTGTCAGTTTTTACCAATTTACTCACTGTATTGAATTAATTGTTTATTAATTCATTTCAGTAAGGCCTCAGACACTATTTGTCCTGCATCTGGTATTACAATAGTTTAACTCATAATCCATATACAAGTAAATGTAGCTGTCTCTTAAGTAAAAGTATTAAAATATTGCATCTTCATACAGCAGTTACATGAATTCATACTGACAGAAAAGTTGAATCTAATAAATGCCTGTAGGTTTGTCTCACATGTTGTTGGCGAGTGAAATCGGGCGATGAAAGGTTCCCTGGAAAACACCTCTGTCTCATTGGTCCGGCCCTGTTCCTGTTTGGGATACTGATAATGATCCTTGAGCTTCAGCACATTATCTCTGTACAGGAAGTACAAACGTAGTGTTACACTGAGGCCTCTCTGAGTGTGTACTATCTGTTGAACTGATGTTACCTGTAAATGTAGACGTACTGCTCTTTATAGGTTTTCTTCCCAAGACGCTCACTTTGTAAATACGTGTAGGAGTTGGACTTGTCATATCTACAGACAAAAACAAACATTAATATGAATAGTAAAATTTCTGATTGGTTTGCAACATGCTTCTCCATGAACATATTACTTTGTATAGAATGTTCCACAGTTTGGCATTAAACAATCTTCCATTTATTCATTCACAGATGTTTTTATTGCTATAAGACATATCTTGAAAAACATACATTCTGTCTTACTGTGAGCAGGTCATCTCTTCAAAGCTATAATCTGCTGTAACTTGACCTAGTGGTGGTATCTGCTTGTCTCCATGAAGAGAATAGATTGTACTGTGGATTATTCTATGTAAAGCAATGATATCTCCATGGTGAAAAGCAGGTAGCAGATCCTCCACCAAAGTTACATAGTGCACCTTTAAATAAAATAATTCTAGAGAGCATTGTTACATACCTGTTCAGGCTTTTAACCAGAGCTTGTATTGCTTCTCCCTTTGAGTCTCTGACCTCCTGGATCAAACTCAGGTCACAACGAGAGAGGATCTTAACAGAAAAAAGTGTACTTTGGGTTTATGTGTGAAGTATTTGTGGCTATTACGACTGAAGTTAGTACAGTAGTAATAGTAGTGCTGGTGCTGTAGTGTAACTGTTATGGTAGAATTGCTATAATTTTTTTTTAATCTTACTATATTCAGACATTATTTATGTGTGTCATAGGCGCTATTTTTAGGACTTTTCACCATTTAATATTTCTATCTATATCTATATATCAATATCTATCTATCTATCTATCTATCTATCTATCTATATATATATATATATATATATATATATATATATATATATATATATATATATATATAAGTTTGTGAATATTTAATTTCTATGGCAGCAGTTCTAATTTGTCATCACTCTGAGATGGATAGACAGACATACCTTGAGTAAGATGCTAATGACCTTCTTGTTGTGCACCTTGGCCTCTCCAAAGCTCTGGACGTTGAAAGCACATATTTTCAAACAAAATGTGATGTTAAATAAACATAACCCCAAAACTAGCAGCACCAGAGTCCTCATGTTACATCTTTATCTGTCAAAAGTAAAAAACAAAACAAAAAACTGTTTAGCAAGTTCCCTTAAGAGGTGAAATATGCAACAGGAAGCTGCGTACTTACCACGTCTGTGCTTTTTCAGTTTGAATTTGACCATAAGTCTGTCCGTGTACAAGTGAGGGCCCATCCCTTTGAATGCTAGTGGAGATTTCAGGGATGCTCCAGGTAAAGCTGTGGACTGGATGTGCTGATGCAGAGCAATGAGACAACAGGGCTGCATCTGGAAAGAATCAGGACAATAGAGAGAGAGAGAGAGAGAGAGAGAGAGAGAGAGAGAGAGAGAGAGAGAGAGAGAGAGAGAGAGAGAGAGAGAGAGAGAGAGAGAGAGAGAGAGAGAGAGAGAGAGAGAGAGAGAGAGAGAGAGAGAGAGAGAGAGAGAGAGTGCAGAGAGAGAGAGAGAGTGCAGGGTATATGGTGGTGGGGAGGTGGGGCTGGGGGGTGGGGCGTAGAGAGAAGTGGAGTGTTACAAATGTTTTAAGAATTATTGAACAAGTCTGACAGTTAAGTTTGATGGCAGGCTTAGGTAAAAACAAAAAACTTTAACTTGACTAACATGTTATTTTTTAGTGATTAGTTCTTCTTAATTAAATATCTTGCTCAGTAATAAATGCTTGATTTTGGTGGGGAGTGGGGCTTTCCATGTTCATTTGTAATTTAATTATTTATTAATAACAGTTGTTAGAACTGTATCCATTGTCTTATAAAGAAATCACACACAACTCGTGTTTCATATTTTCACTTGTATTAAAAATACAGTACATTACAAAACAGTGCCATCTCATAATTATCAAAAAAGATTCAAGTACCTACAAACAAAAAATCAGCTTTGTCTTAAACATTTTAAAAACTAAATAATAAACTTCATATTCAGCATCATACAGGTCTAAAACAGCTGGCGTGTTGTGGGGAGGACATCTCATTCAGATATTCCTCGATCCTGGTCTCCATGTCAGAGTACAAATCCCGAAGCTGCTCTCTGAATGGAGGGTACCACAGCCACAACAACCCCCCCACCACAGCCATGGCCAAGAGCACCAGGAAGGACAGGCAACATCCCAACCATGAACACCTTGTCGCCTGGACATACAGGGGAGAGAGAGAGGTGAAACTTAAATATGAATAGAAAATGTTAAAATATTAATTGTGAAGTAAGCTTTTGAAGAGTTCTCATTCTCCTAGGTGATTTTTCTTATTAATTACATTGTATTTTCCTATTAGAAATATCCAAAAGGAAAATCTGATCATTTATAATTAGGCCCTCGATGGCACTATAGCCCATTAAATATTATAAGTGAATGTAATATTGTGCTTTGCTTTCCTTTACAGCCCAACAATTGGGCCTCAAGTGTATAAGGCAGTTATGTAAATGTCTTGTGGATACATAAATATAGGAGGATTGGATTTGGATGTTGCTAAAATATTATAATATACAGGTGTGGTGTGACTTTGTGGAATTCAAAAAACTAATATCTTATCTAAACTGTTGGAAAGCTTCTTGGATACCTTCTTTTAAAACCCTTTATGATAGTGTTGGATTCACATGCCATACTGACCGATGTCCTTGTTTTGTGGGTGATCTGTCGGAGCTGATCTCTGCACTGGGACAGTCGGGTCTGTGTGGAGCGACACTCCTGCTCCATGGCACTCAGCTCCGTCTGTAGCTCCTCACACTAAAACAGGACAAAACAATGCATTTTATGAGGATAATGTAGTTTTATCAAATGTCTGCAAAAATAATAGAATAGGTCATGTAGTGTTGTGTCCATTATTGTCCAATTATCACAGATTGGTTATATTATTCATCTGTTTTATAGCAATGGAAATATACTGAATGCCCTAGTTAGTTAAAACATGTGAAGCGCAAATTGTTCACTTCTGTTTCAAGAATCCTACATAGATAAGCTAAGATCCTGGAAACCACGGTCATATGGATAATAAACAGGGTAGCAAAACTCCGCTTCAAATAATCAGCTTCTGTCTTATTTGGAGCATACAACTACTCTGAACCATCTTAGAGTAAGACAGTGCATACAGAAACTTCTTCATATAACTGTCCCTCTTTGATCAAAGTTCATTAAAAGGCTGGCTGTTTTTATTTTTTGTTAGGTAGGTCAAACCTGCTCAAACTGACCTAAAAGTAACAAATACACTTGACTTAGGAGTGTCTTATTCACCTCTTTTTCTTTAAGTTGAAGTTTCTCCAGAGTACGCTGTAGCTGCTCATTGACCTCAGGTGACTCCTTCTCTTCTAGACAGTGCTCAGTTTCTCCTGGCATCAAAAATTGCTGCATCAGGAGTTCAGTTTCGCCGCTACCATCTTCAAAACGCACAAATGAAAAACTAATTTGCTGTTGATGTAGTAACCATAAATACATATATCATGTGTAAACACTGACCTCTTAAGTGTTGTATTTCTTCTCTCAGAGCGTTGTTGTCCTCTTCTAGCAGACATGTGTTGTACTGTAGCTCCTGGTTTTGTTGCTTCAGTGACACAAGCTCCTCCTTCAGCTCTTCCTCTCTGACCCGAGACAGCTGCAGGGCAAACATACATGCTCAAGACTCAGACCTTTTTTGGACCAAATAGCCCACTGTCTGCCCCTCTTGGTGCACTCCTTCTGGACCTGTACCTCCAGTTGGTCATGCAGTTGCAGCAGTTGGTCATTGCTCTGGTTGTGTTTCTGTGCGAGCTGCTCAGAGGTCAGTCTGAGTTCTTCGTAGAGATGTTTCCGTCTCTCTGCTTCTGTCTGCGCCATGTTCAAAGCCTCCTATGGGACATGGCAGGATTAAGAGGGACTCCCCAAAAAGACTGTCTCTTTAAAGAACTCACTTCAGTAATACTACAATATATTTGTACTTCTGGTTTTGCACTGTGGTTCTGTCCATACTGTAACTTTTTGTATTTATATTCAGTCAAAGTCTATTTTAAAATCTTATTTGTTATGCATGCCTTAGTTTTTCCTTTTTTTTAATTATAGTTTATATTTTAATATTACTATTCATTGTTTTGTGTTGAACATTATTGACACAGAAAGTACTACTTGGCAATGGCAATTAAATTGATTCAGTCTATATTAAAAATATTAGTCTTCTAGCCTGACAAGACTTTTTACTACAGGCCAGTCATAATGGATGTGAAGTAAATAGATTCTGGTAATTGGAGGAACAAACTGTTTGCAAATAGTTGACAGAATAGTTACAGTATAGTTTAGCTGCTGTTGTCTTTAGTCTTTATACCTGGAGTGAGTCTACTTTGGTCACAGCCTCGGTTTTCTCTTGTGTGGCTTTCTGCAAAGCAATAACTGCCTTGTCTTCATAAACCAACTTCTGCCTCTCCATTTGCAAAAGCAGCTTCTTCACAGCATCCTTTGGAAACTTCTGTAAAGTATAACAACTTCAGTATGCCTCACTTTAAATTACATTTAATCAGTGTAGTCAACTATTCCAAAATGCATTTAAGCTCAATGTTGATTTGTGTATGGATGATTTCTGCTGCAGCACTGGCTCTTACCTGCAGACAAACGTGCAGCTGTGCCTCCAGAGCCTGGATCTTGTTTCTCAGCAGGTCTTCGCTGCAGCGTGTCTGTGGGTTACAGAGGAAATGTTATTTGCGTTTTTGATAGACGCACAAGTGAACACCTGAAGCTGCAGCTGTGGCAAAATGTATCAACAAAAAACAAAACAAAAAGTTAGCAACAACATTGCATCAGACATGAAAATATCACCTTAGTACATAAAAAAAAAAATTCATTTAATGAAATGGAGGCCCATATAGGAGCTATATTGTCACTTTATGTCAGCTATGAATGGTTGTCTTAACTTGTGTATATTTTATATAAGATATATGGTACACTGAAATGGCTGCCAAATTATTAACATTAAGGCCTATGTTGATATTGTTACTATAACATTATCCATGCAAATTGTACATCCCAAATGCGAAGTACAAATACCTCAACCCCAGATATAATGAAATCAGTTAACATATCACATGTATTTTTACTGTGCCTTGAAACAGCCCCACCCTTCTTATTTAAGAATTGCACCTCGCTCATCTGCTGCAGGGCGGAAAAAGGAAGCTTCAAAACCACAGTGCACTGGCCCCATTTGGACAACACTTGCCTGCATCAAACTCATTAATTCAAACTGAAGAAGTGCTAAACAATGACCAGTAGTAATTTCACATCATAAAATGGGAAATATACTTTTATTACGGGGAAACTGTTGCGTGTAAATGTGTGATCAAGACTCACCATCCACATTTTATCAGAGGAGTTCATGAGGTTGGTGGTACTCTCCTGGAGAGATGCCAGCTTTTTCTTTAAGATCTGCTCACGCCAAAGGGCCTCCTGATACACAGCATAAAAACATATGTAAATAGGTATACACAGGCATTCATCCCTTAGGTCAAACAAGTATAATTGTAATTGGTGTGGATCTTATAATAGTGGTATGAACATTATTATGTAAAACGTGCTGTTAATCAGTGTTCCTGAGGTGAAGGAAAGTGTACAACTTGTTTACCTGTAAGTAGTCTGCTAACTTCTGTAGATCCTGTTTGCAAGAAAGATAAAAATGACTATACCATTATAACCAAATAAATATGCTGAAAATAAGTTAACTAGTACCACTTACTGTTTCCCTGACAGTGACAGAGCCAGACCTGCACATAAAACCAATACACAAATTAAAATATATTTTCATTTTTATCATAATTTCTAATCTAAACCTGGGCATCACATTAGACTTACTCTGTCTGTACACTGGCCTCTCTCAACATCTTCTTCACTTGAATAAACTCACTTTGTTGAGTCAGTCTTTGTTGAACCTTTTCAGATCGAATGTTTTTTACACTTGTGGTTTGCACTTAGACAGAAAAAAGCTGATTTAGTAAAACACAAAGTTCAACCTCTTAAAGGTGCACTAAGAAACTTTTCTGCCTTACGGTTCACCACCTGCTTGTCTCTATGGAGATGTTATTGATTTGCCTAGTATGCTGTATCAAACATATCTATCTCCATGGAGACAAGCAGGTGATTCCTGAAAGCCAAGTTACAGGCTAGATCAGTGGAGTGATCAGAATGTTTGTTTTTTTAAGGCTGAGTAATCAAAACACCTATAACTAAATAAATGTAAGGTAGATCATTTTAATGCCATACTGTCAGGTATTAATAATAATAACATCACCATGGAGCCAATCAGGTGGCAGATTTTACGCCAGAAAAATTTAATTGTGCACCTTTAAAAAGATAAAGAAAGACCTAGTATGACTCACCATTCACTGTGGTTTTTCCCTTTTGCACCTGTGGGCCTTGGGGTTCTGATGTAGAGGTATGGTGCTGTGTAGGCTCAGTCCATAATGAAGTCTGAAGATCATTAATATTATTACAGTAATTAATTTATAGACTACATTTATGTCAAACAATGATATATTGAATAATTTACCCATTTGCTGGTGCTAGGAGTTTCACTCAAACTCCTCTGTAATATTAAAGCTGGAAGTCCATTCACAGTGGGACTGGATTGTTCTATGTACTCTGATGAAGAACGCCTCATTTTAAATATTCTTGGCGATGCTCTCCTTTTGGACTGTCTTTCTGCCAACCTTGAGCCACACATTTCTGGACTCACGGATCTCCTCTTCAGAAACTCCAGCTGCCTTTTTTCTTTGAGCTCATTCTTTATCGATTTGGTGTCAAACTCTCGTGTTGGGCTTCGGCAGGATGTGGTGTTGTTTTTGCCTCTCAGGAGTTCATGCTGCTCGGCTCTGATCAGTGATTTTTCTTCAAAGTTTAATGTAGACAGATGGACTTTTCCAGCAGTCACGGTGTCCATTGCAGCTCCATGGACTAGAAAGGAAGTTAAACTAGATCAACCAATTTATCAAAGCAATTAACTGTTTAAAGAAGTATGCCACAGTATCCATGATAACACAGGAGAATACCAAATATAAAGAAGACAATGGTAATTTGCACTTTATACTGGCTATCTAACAATATTGCCAATATTTATTGTGAACCATGAACAAACTTTCAAAATTTCATGGTATATGGTTTAAGGTTTTGATCAAAATAGTAATTCAGTTTGAGTTTAGTTAACTACAGGAAGATATAACATTAGTATTTCATTTCTATATTCTGTCTGCAGTGTGCCTTAATACAGATATGGGCGAAACACAATGTGCTATGTGTCTATAGTTAAGAATCTGGGAACAAAAAGTACCTCTCATCTATCAGAGACCCATGTGCAAACTGCTCATACATCTTTTAAGGCCTAGTTATAGTATTGCTGTAAATCAAATGCATTGTAATTTTTGATATATTTTTGAGGAATACATTAAAAATTATTTAGTTTTGATAAAATGCACAAATGCTCTTAGTCACTCTTAACTTAGGACATTGTAAACATACTTTCTCATAAAAAAAAAAAGAGGTCTCTCTATGAGCAGAGCAAAAACAGTATCGTTCATAGATTATAAATGCATGATAAAATAAGTTAAGTGCAAATGCAGAATTGGAGGAAACAACTCATTCATAAGTTTGGAGACCAACTGTCAAACACTCTTTAGGTGGGAAATTCATTGGCTAGTCTGAAAATACAAACAGATTTTTATAATGATTGTAGACACTTACCTACTGCTCCCTGGAAGAGTGCAGGGGACACATCACAGTCCTAAAGCAACCATCCATTTTGTTACTCTCTCAAACTTGTGTCTGTTTCACATGTTGCTTGTTCAGTTGAGCATAAATTTACAGGAAGTCGAGTGAACCACAGCGTCATATGTTCCTCTATCTCAGCAGCCACTTGCTCAGAGCTGATGCCATGCACGGGTGGGCCCGAAGATTACACCCAAACACAACCACCCCACTGAAGACTGCAGAAAAAAGCAGATTAGTGGGATGAGCCAGAACACTGATCGCCTTTTGGAAAATTCATTTTGGTTTTCATTTTGGACTTATTAAATGTGGGTGCTGGCTTCTGTTTCTGGACAGCTAATCTTACACTTCAATGTATGTTTCACAGAGTGTACTGTTAATCAGTGTATTTTAATATGATCAATATAGACATTTGATAAAGTGCATCTTGTGCTCTAAATGATCTACAGCAGGGATCCTTTACCACAATATTAGATAGCATAATACATGTGTATGGGCCTCAGGTTACCCAGGTACTCAAACAAGTTGGGCCCCAACACCATGTTTGTGTTTCTTACCTAAATACATTCACTCTAAATAAAATTAATACATTTTGTTTAAATCTATCTATGCTGTGTGGCCAGCCTGTTTGCTAAAAGCTTGATTTCAAGTATGCCTGGCTTATCAATTTGCACCGACACTCTGTATTTCTGTAGTCTCTGTCTATTTCTTCATTTAATTTGAGAATAAATACTTCCACTTAAACAATACTTACTTACACAAAGGCACGAACTTTGTCAACTGACGTCAAAAAAATAAATAACACTCTTAAAACAAGGCTCTCATTTATATATTTATGTGAAACAACGCCACCAAACGGACGTGCCAAGAACAGCAGATTTAACGTCTCGCGATATTTGAAGGTGATCGGTCTCTGTCCGCCATCTTTACAGAAGAAGGGCACGAAAAGGCCGTAACAAGGGTGCCCTGCCAGATTCATCCTTCAAAATGTTGTCCAGGCTCGTCCTCATCTCAGGTAAATTATATTTGTTCAGACGTAGTTTATTTCTTTAGGTTACTGACTGTGATTGTCTTTGAAATGTAAATTTTAGTATTAATGTGAATGTGAAGGGTAAACTGAAGGCCAATCTTTGAATGGGAAACACGCTAAAGCTAACTTTCAGATAGAAGCTTACATGCGCTATTATAATAGCAAGACATGTACAAGTATGCACACTAAGTAAACAGACATATAATTCAGGGTAAATTATTACACGTTTAGGTCTCTTGTAGATGGTAATGACTTCAACACACACACTTTACTTAAGCTAACTGTGGCTAACTTTGCAGGTCTGCAAATGTCACCTTATGATAGCAGAGCTCTGATAGAACATTTTGTCTTTAGTACCTTGCACCTTAGAGGTTCCTTCAGAGCGATTTTTGTTTTTTCAGTGTGGCAAAAAAATATATGTGTAATTAATAAATAAATAAATAAATATATATATATGTGTGTGTGTGTATATATATGTGTATATATATATATATGTGTGTGTGTATATATATGTGTATATATATATATATATGTGTGTGTGTGTATATATATGTGTATATATATATGTGTGTGTGTGTGTATATATATATATATGTGTGTGTGTGTGTATATATATATATGTGTGTATATATATATGTGTGTGTGTATATATATGTGTATATATATATGTGTGTGTGTATATATATGTGTATATATATATATATGTGTGTGTGTATATATATGTGTGTATATATATATATGTGTGTATATATATATGTGTGTGTATATATATGTGTATATATATATATGTGTGTATATATATATATGTGTATATATATATATATATATGTGTGTGTGTGTATATATATATGTGTATATATATATGTGTGTGTATATATATATATGTGTGTGTATATATGTGTGTATATATATATATGTGTGTATATATATATATGTGTATATATATATATATATGTGTGTGTATATATATATGTGTATATATATATATGTGTGTGTATATATATATGTGTATATATATATATGTGTATATATATATGTATATGTATATATAAAAACTCAAGAGTTATCCTGTGTTTCTGGTTTTACCGTGTATTTATATATTCTGCACACATGTGCAAAATTACCCTATACCTTTTGTGCATATTTGCCCTCACATGCTTATCCTCTCTTGTTTACAGCTAATGCCCTGAAAGGCAGGGGGCCCCTTGGGGCTGGGTAAGTGTCAAATTTATGCCATTTGTTTGTGTTGTCTGATGTGACACTTGTCACTAATGTTGTGTGGCTGTTGTCTACAGTCTGGTCCAAGCATCCCGCTCTTTGCAGACGTCTTCCCAGAGTCTGGCCCCAGTGCCCCCACTGCCCGAGACGGGAGGCAAAGTACGCCATGGCATCTTCCCAGAGGAGCTGTTCCAGCTTCTGTACCCCAAAACTGGAGTCACAGGTCAGAAGACTTCTGCTGTTAGTGTCTGGCTTACACTAAAAGACTATCAGGATAAGAAAGCGCTCTTTTTATATGAAAAACGTGAATAGGCTTGGACCTCGGCCCAATGATGCATATTCATTTTGGTCTTCCAAGAAAGTTTGGGCATCCTTGGATTAAGAATTTCCTAGTCTTTATTGAATAATTGACTTGTTTCTTGTTTTTTTTAAGGACCTTACATGCTTGGCACCGGCCTCCTTGTCTACATGCTTTCCAAGGAAATCTACATCATCAACCACGAAACCTTTGTTGCTGCCTCCGTAGGAGGGATTTTTGTCTACATTGTCAAGAAATATGGCGCACAAATTGCAGCATTTGCAGACAAAATAAATGAGGCATGGATATTTTTGTTCTTTATGTTGGTTTTAGAAGCCAGATTTCAGAAATGTCACCCAGTGTTTTAAAAAGTGAGTTGACACTATATGCTAATATTCCTCATGGTTTTGCAGGACAAAATGGCCAAGGCTCAGGAGGTGAAGGATCTGGCCATGACTAACCTGGCCCAGGCCATTGAGAACGAGAAGAAGGAGCAGTGGAGAGTAGAGGGCCGGTCGATGCTCTTTGACGCCAAGAGGGTAAAAATCACACAGCAGTAGTGAAATTTAAAAAGAACCACTATAAATTTGTTACTTTATTGACAAAGTTATGATTATTTATGGGGATTTTATTGGTTATATTAAGAATTTGGTGCTTGTTATTATGTTCAAGAGCAGACATCATGGCATCAAAAATGCAGTAATACATTTACATGAATCATTGTGAAATAAAATTAAACTAATGAAAGTCTTGTGCTTTTATGTGCTGCAGAACAATGTGGCGATGATTCTGGAGACAAACTACAGGGAAAGACTACACATGGTTACAAATGAGGTGAAGAGGCGTCTGGACTATCAGATCGCCCTCCAGGACCTGCACCGCCGCATGGAGCAGGAGCACATGGTCAACTGGGTCGAGAAGAGTGTCATCGGCAGCATCACACCTCAGCAGGTACACACATCTCACACAGTATTTGATGTTAAACTAAAAGCCCAAATTGTAAATGAATTCTATCTTTTTAAAAGTCAAATGGTGTAAAATGTTGTGCTCTGCTTTTAACCTATACATCCACACATACTCTTTGGTTATGTAAATTAGATCTATTAACCCCAGTGCCTTGTTGAAAATGTGTGTACACTGGGAGTGTTACATACAAATTGTGTATTTTGCTTTTTAAACTTCCACAAAACATGTTGATTCCATTCGTTACCACAAATAATTAATCCTTTAGATGCCAGTTTTTTATTAAAATATAATATAATATTTATATATATATATATATATATATATATATATATATATATATATATATATATATATATATTATAATTTTTTTCTCAGGCCAGTCACACAGATAATAGCCAATCAGTGTGGAGAATTAGTGGGAAGATTGACTTTGGTGTATTTGCTCCATAGTTTGTTTGTTGCTCAATAGACTCCCATTATAAAATACCCATTTTGACTACCCCCTTTTAATTAAAGTCTAAAAATGTTTTTTTTTTTGCCTTTATTTTGTTTTCCTTTTAAACTACTTACAATTATGTAAAATGTAAGCATTTTTCATTTTTTTCAACATATTCCCACATTTTCCATGACCCCTTCAATCCTTATCTCTATTATTGGTATATTGCAATATACTGTAACTCCATAAATGAAAATAAATGTGATTTTCCTGATATGTTTGTAACTGTTCATATGGGTGAGCCATCGATATGATCAATCTGTGGGATGTTAGTTTGTTGAATTTTTTTGTTTTGGTTTACTGTCATTTTAAACCAAAATGTTTGTCCATTCAGATTTCGCTCATATACTTCCATTGTAAATGCATAGATTTGTCTCGACTATATACTTATGGAGAAATAAAACTTTTTCTTTTAATGCTCATTTTCTAGCAGCAATAGTCTCAAATTGAGTGAAATTAGGGAGATTTTCAAAATTAAGACTTTTTTTTTCTAGCTCTAAATTGATCCTTAAATGCATGTTTTTGATGAGGAGCTCATTTTTACATGTATTTCCTGTGCCCCATACACCTATCCCACACACCCTCGAATTTTGGACTGAACATACAGCCCGCAGTCCAAACACTGCTTTTGATCACAAATTTCACCTTGTTTCTTAAATTTCTTGTCACTGTGGCCTGAAATCTTAATATTTTTAGGGAATTTGCAAAGTTCTCATTTCTTATAAGGCATGTTTACGTCCCTCTAATACTCTATTATTATATCAGACTATGCAAATCATCATAATGTAGGCTAAACGTAATATTTGAAGTACATTTTTTTCTTTTAAATTATTTTTTTTCTCCAAGCATTCATACTCAAAAAGATGTTCTTTACCAACACATCTAATCCATTTTTGGTGACTTGCTCTATTTTCATTTGTTTTTTCTGGCACAAATTGTTTAAATGTTGTATAGGGTGACAGTGGAGGTCATTGGAGGAAGGGCTGAAATTAGGCACATTTTTTGAAAGATATTTTTTTTGTAAAATTAATTTTGTTTACTGCAGAGAAATAAAAAATATATCAAAATAATTTTCACTTTGATTTTGGGAGGAGGGTGTCAAAAATAATGTCAAAAAATTACAATGGAAATCAATGAATACAAATTTCCGAAACATGCTCGGTGTATACGAAATTTTTCATGTTGCCAAAATTGGTCCAATTGGGATGAAACTCACATATGTCTATAATGCTGTAAAAACACATTTGTGTGAATTTTCATGGCAAACACAGCCAAAGTTGTGCATTCAGATACACACATTTCCGGTAAAAAGGCACAAGGGTTAACTGTACTTCACTGGTGTATCCTCTTCTTTGAAGTCTTTTAAAATTCCTTTCTGTGTGTTGTCTTAAGTTAACATTTGTTCCACTCTAATGTATTTGTATAAATGTGATTACTTATGTTCTTTCAGGAAAAGGAGAGCATCGCCAAGTGCATCACAGACCTGAAGGCCCTGGCCAAGGCCACACAGGCCAAAGCTACTGTCTAAACTCCTAAGAAGAAGGATTATGGTCACTCATCTATCGAAAGGAGGCACCCGCATTTCTTCTAATAGTTCCTCTTCAGTGTCTCTGTGAATATTATGGGTGTGTACAGTATTTACACGTCAGATGATGGTAAAATAAATGGTTCTCTTATTCAGAAATGGCCTGTGTTGTGTTTTTTAAGTCTTTTAGTTGTTGTATTATGAAACTTTTATTTTATGGCTAGACCATGAGGAAATAAGTTATTACATTACAAGCAATGAAGGAACCTTTGGTTGGTCATACGGAGCAATATATATATGTGACCTCTGGACTCATCAGGGAAGTACAACACCCAAAGACCTGCCCTCATCGTTAAATCGTCACATCTGAAAGATCTGTACTTTGATCTTGTGCTTTACTAAGTTTCCATGCTCTATTTTTTCCTGTGACTGTACTATTCTGAGAGGGCAATGGAACCAGGCAGGTGAAAAGGTAAAGAAGTAAATGTAAATGTTTTTTGTTTTTTTAATAGGGCTGTGGTTTTGTAGCATTTGTAAATGTTCTAAAGAAGGTTTTATGATCAAGTGATAGAAATCTGCAAGTTATAGGTGGGTTATTGATGTCTTTCTGTAGTTCGGTCTTGGGTGTCAGTATAGGTTAACTTCAAAATGTATTCAATTTTGATCACTTTCTTTTGTTAAAATAGTCTGCATACCTGTTCTCCTTTATGACTAACTTGTGACAAAAATATATTCAGGAAATGAATGAAATTGTGACACCCAAGGCTGTATTTGAAATCCTAAATGTTTGAACTCAAGAGTAATAATTTTGTTAAGTCTAAACAAATCAATTATACAGGTACAACGCATTTATGTTGGTCAGGTGCTTTGAGGATCGGTATTGAAAGACTGAAACTTTAAAAATGTTTGGTTCCAGTCCGTTCTCCTACGCCCCAGGGTGAGTTGGTTTAATTTCACACTATAAATGTTTACTTTTACAATTGGCAAAACAAAATGTTTTGTTCTAATTTTTCATCTGTCCATACACACACACCTATTTTCCTAGATAAACTCCTCTCAGTTGCCATGGTTTTGTCTTAAGTGTCTTTATCTCAACCACTGGCTACTCATATACAGTTTTATTGCAGTCAGAGACCTATAAAAGTACCCCTCCTAAAGTTATATGTAATAATTTTATTTAATTTTTTTTGCTGTTTCAGGGGCTTGTCTCCGGAGGACCTGTCTCACAGACGCAATGTTAATAATCCAAAAACATTTGGCAGTTTACATAATGACGACCAAAGGGTTTCTCCAGTGCAGGGAAACATGTCCAGGCCCACAGGAAAATCCATCTACAGTATGTTCACACTAAACTGAACTGTTTTACACCACACATTCTATTAGATCATAACATTGCTTATAGTTATATATAGTTATATAGTTTTACTTAGGCATGTCACGACCAATAATAAGGCAAATTTATATTTCTTCAACATAATGGAGAGAGCAGGAAAGCATTTTGACAAATTTCATAAGAATGAAATAGTGGTTTGCTTTATTTGGCGCGTCCACACAAGATGATTAATTAATACTGGTATGATTTGAAATGCCATATTAGGCATAATATGCTGCATGAATGTTTTTGTTTATACTTCTTACCTTTTTGTTTTAAGTGCAGAGAAAGGAATACTCAGAAACACTAAACAAACAATCAGACATCTTGAATGTCAGAGTGGAGGTAAAAATAACCATGTAAACACATTGAAATGTATACTTTCTAATGACCCTGTATTCTCTGGTTATAGCACCTGTTCACCTGTGAAATGGATGGTCGGGATGTGGACTCCATCAGTGACTGTGTGGCCAAACTGAAGAGGCTGGATACAAAGGGCCAGCTGTGGTCACAAGAGATGATCTTGGATGTGCAGGGGAGCTATCTGGTCCTCTCTGACATTGAGACAAAGGTTTCAGTGTTTTGAGTACCAGTTTTTTCTACATTTCTTTACTCTAGAAATCCCTACTTGTTACAAAATTGTTTTGTAACTCTGAATTACTATTTAGGAATGTTGCTATAAACTGATAAATGATCTGTTTCTTTCATTGCCTTTTTCTGCGTAATAGTCATTTATAGACTTAACTGTCTTTTTAAATTAGAAAATAAAACAACTTTTTAATATTTTTTCATTCTTTGGGATCACTCAGTCAGAGTTAGACTCTCTGCCTTTGAAGAACATCATGGAAACTAATGCCATTTTGGACACCTGCGCCTACAACTCTCTTTTTACACTAACTGTCCAAGAGCGCAACAAGCGCATCCCTCAAGTCTATATGTTTCAGTGTGAAGAGACTGGGGTGAGTAGACTTGAAATCACTTATTAATATTTATTTTTTATTGTTACATTTTTCAACCACCAAAATACTACTGGTTTGAAGCTGTAATGTGTTTTTAGGCTGAGATCATTAAGGCAGACATAGATAAAGCAATTCAAAAAGGAGGACAAGGATTTGTGGAACCACGCAGCCAGAGACCAGCAGACCCAGGAGAACTCAGGTAAAAATCAAAGTATTTAACATAGAATATCATTAGCTTAACTTATCTTACACTGTTGCTGATCTGTATGCAGGAGCAATCTTGAGAATATCATTGGTGCGCATGTGTCTGGAGGGTACCGCCCTGAAGGCCCCCGTGCGGTGTTTAATCCATCTCCAGAGCTCCCTCAGTGGAAGAGCAGGGAACCAGGTAGGCTGTCATAATGTAGTTCATTGAATCATTCAAAAAAGTATGGAATACATTTTTAAAGAGAAAAAATATGTTCATGAATCAGAGGACCACAGGATAGCATTAAGATATTGTGCCCAAGTCCTGAGTAGTGATTTCCAGAAATATGATCAGCAATAAAAATGATTAGCAATACAAGGAACTAAGGGAACTAAATTGTAAAAACCCTTCCTATGGTATGACCTATTTTTGTCTTTTTAATTAATTATTTATTTAAAACAAGAACAGTATATAGAAAACACTGATCTCAAAGAGAAAATATCCTTTGCACCAGGTTTAGCTAAAAGCTGCTTTATTATCAGTTTTTTCTTTAACTGATTGCATAATATTCTACAATACTCCTCAGAAAACCACCTTCCTGATGAAGCAGTTTACCAGGAGGAGGTATATGACTCACACTTTCACCCAGGACCTCCTCAGCTCTCGGACACAGAGTGGAACATAGTGAGTTCAACATTAAGCAATCTACTGTCAAATCATTCTGTCTCTTTTCTATTACAACAAGCACAACATAAACTTTTGTGATTCTTCTTTAACCTTGTTTTTATATGATTATATTATGGATTGTAGGAAGTATTCAACCATGTTTTGAATGATCTGGAGATCTTTATGTCTGAAGTGACTGCAGCAGTGAGCACAGCTGCTCCGGAACCTAATAAGAAGAAAAAGAAATCAAAGAAGAAAAAAGGTGCAGTGTATGTTTAGTTTATGTTTGGTTTGCATGACAAAGGACTTCTCTTGGATGACATGTTTTCATCATCTCTGCAGCTGAACCAGCTGTCAACACTGTCAATCTGCCACCACAGGACGAGTACATGTCCTTTCTTCAGAAAATCAAATATGCGTTCAATATTGTGGTAAATGGTTTTCTGTTAAATGACTCCTTAGTGACTCTCAACAGTTTAATGTAATACATGTACCGGTATCCATCGTGTTATGTAACAGGCACAGCTGGAGGAAGCCCTCACTGAACCCACTGCTGAAGACTATGTCCACGTTTTATTCAACATTTTCAATAGTGTAAGGCTGATGCAATATTTTAGAAACACTCCTTTAAACATTCATAATAAAACTATTTTTATGTTCATCTTATTTAATAATATTTTCCTTTCTCTCCAGGTGGGGCCTCATTATCATCGGGACATCCCTCTCACAGTTCAGGCTCCATTGCTGACAGACGCAGTGATGCAGCTGCTGAGCTCTGTGGTCACCCCGGAGGAGCGGCAGCTCTGGGTGTCCCTTGGAGACTTCTGGACCATTCCCAGGTCAGATTTACTGTACATTTATGAACTCACTAGAATCAGACAGGGCTGTATGTTAAAGATGAAGACATTGTGTTCTTTTCCCAGTACTTTTTATTAAATTATATGTAACAAATATAGACCGTTAGTTTACATTTTGTTTATGCAAGCAATATTGATTTAAAACATTTTACATTTTAATATTTACATTTAAGAACTGTACAAGTAGGATTGTAGTCTGAAGTAAATACACAGCTATGGGTGGGGATAGGGGGTAGGTGTAAACAGATTTTCAGACCACTCAAGACTCCAATGCAGGACAATGCAGGATTGATCAAATATTCAGTCAAAATACAGCTTTGAGTAAGCTAATGGTGAAGGACATAAAAATAAAGTTTACATACTAGTATTATGACCACTTTAATCATGACAAAATATAGTATTATATATTTGTGTACAATGTAATAATAATAATTATTCTCACAGTAAACTGATATGTTGGTTGCCTTTACGTTCCAAAAATGATAAATGCCTAATTAATGGGAGCTTGGAGTATGGAACTTGGGAGTGCCTTTACATAAGATGTCTGTGAAATCCCTCAACAAAAGAAAAATTCAATTATGTCAACTGTCAAGCAGCTTCTTCCGTTCTGAAGCTTGGATGAACTTTTTTCCAGTTGACAGATTTGGATTTTTCTTTTGCTATGCTTTTACATAACCACTTTGGGAGCCAACATTAAGCCTATACATATCCTTGTGTCGGGTTAGTTCCCAATGGGCAGAGGAAGATGTCCCTGAGTACATCCCTGAGTTTTATGACAACTGGCAGCCCCCTCCTCGCCCTCAAAAGACACACCCAGTAAGCCGGAGCAACAGCCAGCGATTCCCCCCCAGACAGCAAAATGGATGGGGTACTCCGCCCCCTGCACGGTACACTGTCTATACAATATTAACCTTTTCTATAATGGAGCATATCATCTTACAAGTAATATACCTGTTTGTTTCAGATCGAGTGAACCTGAGTATATGCGAGCTATTTATGATTTCATGGCCAGAAACAACAGAGAGCTCAGCCTCATGAAGGGGGATGTGGTTGAGGTGCGTTGCAAAGTCCGTTTTATTTATGTTTTGTGGTCTTTTGGGCTTGTGCCACCTCCTGTCCTGAAAAGCAGTTGCACTCAGAAGGTGTTTGCCAATTATGATCACATGAGATCTATATTAAATCTGCAGAAACTAAACAAATGTTTTATATAGCACAAATAACACCACAATTGGTGTCCATCCATCAATCTTTTTTAATTATTTACCCAGATGCTCAAACATAGTTATAACTCCATGTGAACGTTTTGTGTAATTGACACGTATCGAACTGCTTTGTTCTCTGGCAGGTGGTTCAGAAGAATAAGCAGTGGTGGCTGGTCCGTAACAACCGCTACGAGGAGGGCCATGTTCCCCAAAATGTCCTGGAGTCAATGGACCAGCCACAGATGGGACAGGTTACCTACTCAGTATTCAGTTTACCCATTACATTTAATAATAATATTTATACCTAACTGTTTGTATTTATAGAGAGAGGGCCCTGTGACTCTGGACATGAGCTCTTCTTCAGCAGAGGTCTCGGCTTGGCTTGCATACAAGGGTTTCTCCAAACTGTGAGTCAAATAGGTTGCATTGATGTGTAGCTATAAAAAGAGTGTATAATTTCAAGATGAAGGACAACAAAAAAATAAAACTTACTTTGTTAGAGGTGTCTAACATCCTAGTTGGGCAGTGTTTCCCCGCCACATCTTGAAATTACTTCAGATTAAAAAAAAAATCAGAATTGCACTGCCAGACCAAGTCATAGGTCACATCTGTGGAGAGGCAAGCCCACTCACATTAAGGACTACATTTAAGAAAAAAATCTTATCTTCTAATATTCTGTCTATGTTTTGTGGTGCAGGACAGTAAGAAGCCTGGGAGTACTGAATGGACGACAGCTTTTGGGAATGACAAAAGATGAAATCCGATCTGTGTGTCCAGAGGATGGAGGGAAAGTCTTCTTCCAGCTCCAAGCCATTAAATCTGCCATCGCAGTGAGTAATAATAATAAGAATTCATTTGTAAAAATTAAAAAATTACCAAAAAGTAAAAAAAAAAAAAAAAAAAAATCCTATTTAATACATTTTTTAAATATAAATGAGTCAATTTGATTAAAAAAAAAGACTAGCTTTTGAAAACACTGCTTTAAAAAAAGACTAAAACACAGGCCTCTAATTTTGAAAAAGTTTTATTTGGGTTGGTTTGTTTTGTTTTAACTATCTAAATATATTTAAAATTCATGAAACTTAACAAGTATTTAGTGCAACACATATCAGTTTGGGTGACTCACCAACCTCACCATCAGATACTGTGTAACTGTGTGATACTGTAAAAGTATTGTCTTCTGTTTTCATAGTTTTTTTTTTTTTTTTTTTACAGCTTGCCAGTGAACCTTCAGGACCTTACAACAGTCACTACTAAAGTGTCTTATATCATTGTTAATAATGATTGAACATTAGGGAGCAGTAAAACTGGCTTCACACCTTATACCACTGAATTCAAATTTTAGAAACTATAATGAATGTATATAAATTATTTTGAACAGTAATTTGCTATTTCATTTTGTAATTTGTTTACTAAATACCTATACCATAATCAAAACTCTGTAGGTGTGTTGCACAATGGATGGTGTGAATATTATAATAAAAATAAAAAATACTGTTATGGCTGTCATCTGTATGTGAGTAAAGTAACAAAACATTCATAGTACTTTTTTTAATTTTTTTTTATTCACAAATGTTTTGTATGCAGTACAAATTAAGTGCTTCAAATTACAAAATCCTTACAAACTTGGTCTTTCAACATAATTTTGATCCAACTCAACTTCTGAGTGCTTTTAACTACAAAAGGCCGATGTTTTGTGAAGGCATTAACAAAACAAACTACTCACTCTAGTTCAGTCTGAAATGATGAACTAATTTTTTTGTTGTTGCTGGGATCAGTTACTCCTTTTTGTTTCCCCATTTGGCCATTTTGTTGTTGACGGGGGTCTTGATGAAACGATCAGACTTCATGTAGGCTTTGATCTTATCTAATGCCTATAAGGCAAATATACAGTATGCTCAAATATATATTTTAAAACTTTTTTTAATATGTAATGTGAGGAATTAACAAACAGAAAATGCTCATTAAGTGCACTCTTACCTCAAATCGCTCCAGGAAATCTGTGAGATTTTTTATGTTGTTCAGAGAGGATGGGTGGAACATGCGGTGCTGATCCAGAAGCTCATACATGATGAAGTCCACAAAAGTGATCTATACAATTGCACACATTCATTTAACATGGCCACCAACAACAGTGTGGTTTTGAGCATTATAAAGAATAATTGATTTTAAATACCTTTTCACCTGCAAACCATTTCCTGTTACCCAAAAACTTTGAGAACTGACCCAGTACATTTGGCAACTTCTCAATATATGCATCCTTCTTAGAATCCTTATTTATGGCAAAAAGTCAAAACTGTCAATTATACATGCTTTAATATGCAATATTTATACATTTTCTTTTCTATAAACTTACATAATCCATGTAGCACAATATCACAAAGCCATTTCTGAAGTCCATTGCCTGGTTTTCAAGGATGTCCACTCTCACCTTTTCATCTTCAGTTTCTCCACCTTTGAAGACAATGTTTGATCATGGTCACATTTTGCTTTTAATAATAATAATAATAATAATAATAATAATAATAATTTTCAGTGATTAGAACAGTCCAAACATATTTCTACAAAGAATATAAACTCAGAGTTTCTTAGCAGAATACTTACACAGATTGTGTTTACGTGCAATGTATCTCATAATGGCATTGCTTTGTGAGATCTTTCGATCTCCATCTTCCAGATAAGGCAGCTAGAGACAAAATTGTTTAAATATTGCTTGCTTCTTGAGAAAAATTTCAGTATATTAAGTTATGCCACTTACATTTGGGAAGTCCATCTCAAGCTTGGCTTTATCATTAATCCAAGTGCTCTTGTCGTAGTTGGGAGCTGTGTGAACCAATAATCCTGAATTAAGTATTTGCAGAATTGACTACTTTTGTGAAATAGTTTTAAGAGGCCTGTTACCTTCACCACAGGAGTAAAGCTTTTCCTCATAGCTGGTGCCGGTGTACTCCATCAGCAGGCGGATGGGCTGGGCAACAAGAGGCACAAACATTAGATTAACGTTGTTTAGGATGGACTGGCACAAGGGAATTCTAGTGGCAACTGGCAAGCAACAAGACACAACATGCCTGTGATCCCAAAGAAAAGAAAACTGGTTGGTATAGTCTATCTGGTACTGGTCTTTATCTGTATGGATCTAGTTTATCACCCATATGTAGGCCTAATATTGGCTACTGGACTCAGGTTGTCAAAATACGATAAGGTGGGAGGTCACCTGGGGTAGTAGTGTAACAGTAGTGCAGGTGGTGTGTGATATTCACACAATCAACAAGGTGAAAGTTGAACCGCTCAAAAGACTGAACAATGTTATTAATTTTGCATAACCTATGAACTTCATGGGCTGATCACTTTTACGATAACACCAATGCACACTGGTGCACATTTATGACTGACTTGTTAGTGCATTCATTTTAACTACTCAGTTTAAAAGCACGCACATAAGTTACTAAATAATTACACAGAGTGCGAACAAGGATAGCCTGTGCACCTCCCGCTATAAAATGACAGTAGCCTATTATGCACACGTGGTTATGCTTGCATAACATTTAGCTTTGCGTTTTTTTTCCATTTCTACCAACCAGATAGATCCTTCCATTTCTACAATTTAAAGCAAAAATAATGCTGGCAAAAATATTTTACATTTGTGTTTTACTTCCCTGAAGAGGTTAAGTTACATTGTGGCCAAGCTAAAGTGCATGCTAGTTTTCTATCAGAAACCACAGTAGCCTACTTACCCCGCGGATGTCCCAGTATGCCAGTAACATTTTGGAGTAAAAGTGGAGAAAGATGGGGTTACGGACGGAGAGAAAGAGAGAAGCGGTCGCTGTTGGAGCTGAAGCAGTAAAGGACCGCTGCAGTTTGTGTTTAAGGGCTCACAGAGGGGCGTGACAAAGGGAAGGTCTTACATAATAAGACGCACTAGAGGGCGCAATTCAGAAACCGGTTCTACCACGCTTTGTTTGCTTAGAGTTGTACACAGTCTATGGTTGTACACGCTGTTTGCAATTCAATACACAAGCTTTTATTCTTAATTCGCCTGCCAAGTAGAAGTATGATGAATGGTCTCTCTATATTTAAGCAAACATGAACTCATCATCTGCATCAGACTTTCATATCTTAATATAGGCTTATTGGGCACAATTATTTTTTAACCATGATAAATGTGTTTTGACAGGTTAAAGCCTACACCACCCACTACTGAATAGAATTGAACTTTGTAAGAATTCTATGCATTGTATATTATGTTTTGCATCAATAGCCAATGTGTAAAAATCTATATCCCCATCTTTGCATTTAACTGAATCTGTGACTTGGCTGCTTATACTGACTTTGTTGTTGACCCTATATGCGCCTGGTGTTGCATTTAACACATATTTTAATAATTGAAATTCCCTAGTCTTGCATAACATTCATCATGACAAAGCATTTTTTTCTCACTAGCCTGCATGGGAGTTGGCAGACTACAGCATTGTGAGGCAAAATGATAAATGATGAAGGGAAGAATAGGAATATGGTGTAAATGTGCTCTGCATGACTTTTTGGTTGTTGTTTTGTTTGTTTCTTTCTGTTGGTAGTTCAGTTTTTGACAACAACATTTGCAAAGAAACCTGATCTGAATTATGAAATTACAAAATATTTACAATGTTTGACACTTTTAACATCTCATATTATTGTATCTGCTGCTCATTTCACATATTATCGAATATTAGTTTAAAGTGGCAAATGCTGAATGGGTTAAAATTATTTTAGTACCAGTCATAACTGTCCAAGGTCCTTCTTGATTATACTGTGAGTACAATGGACTCTTTGTTAGGTTCACATTTCTTTCTGCTAATCCACTGGACCTCCACTTCTCATTTGCTTTTCTTCAACACAATTACCACAGCACACATTTTTTTTAGCTTGTGTTGTTTCATAGTAATACAACATAATAAAATCACTGTATGTAGGTAAATTTGTAGACATTTATTTTTTTCCAAGACACAACATTCATTAAATAATATTTCACAAACATACATAGAGACTGTTGTAGCCCCATTGAAAACACCAGAAACCAAACAGACAGGAGTTGTAAAAATCATTAATTTGGCACTGCTGGAAAAAACGAATGGGACCATGCAATGTTTGCTTTGTAGGCCAATATTACTCCAAAATGCCTTATTTGAGTTTAAGTTTTGTCAAAGTACTTGAATCTTTATAATTGTAGCATTACTCTACACCAGACCAGACAGAAAAGGCATGCTGCAGTCATGCAAAAATACTGAAAAACAGCAATAGTTTATTTGGAGCAGTGGTGAAAAATATGTAGGAATAGTAAAAACTGTAGTTTTTGATTAAGAGAATCATGAGATATGTCCTTTGGATAAAACAGTAGTTTGGTTGATTTTTATGTATTCAGCTTTCTGTCTTCTTCGTGGTTTCCTTATTTCCAACGTTTCCCATTTTATAGGGTGGATAAAATATTTAAAGGAGAAGTCAGTGAAAAAATAAGTGAGTCATATTATTAACAGTAACACAAGTTTCTCTGTAATCCAATCTGAGGCAAAATGCGTCATCTGTACATTCATGATACTAGCAGCAAGTTCTAAGGTATTCCAATGGTGATAGTAGTACTCAAAGTATTAATATCATTTTTATTAAATAGTGGTCTTAGCAGCATATTGTAGTAAAAAAAATGCAAGAAATGCCACTTACTTATTCAAATATGTATAGTAAAGTAAATGGGATGCATTTAAAATATAGTAATATGTGTTAATTTTTAAATTGTTCCCATTTTTGGGTCGGTGCATATCAATTGTTGTGTTATTCAACGGTTGCTACAAGAGACAAAATTATACACAATTGTTGACAGTGCTTGGCCATGGAAAATAAAAATATGATAAAATAATAAATAAAGTTAATACTTTAGTCCATATAGATCCTATCTCATATATTCTCTCTAAGTCTCTTTATAAAAAGTTTTCTCGCTCCACAGGTGTCATTGGTTGATACGTAAATCTGTACACAGCGGTGAGAAGTAAACAAGTAATGCCAGTTAATTTTTGTTGTTGCTTCATTTCTGTACCGGCACAGCTCCCATACACAAACTGCCCTCTTCTTCTATGGTTTCTAGTGCATCAGTGCGAATGGCTTGAGTTATAAGGTTAAGCTCCTCACACATGGTCTCATAGCGATAGGCCACACGGATGTCTGGGACATTGGTGCGTCTGATGTCATTGCTCTCCTGTCCCTCCTTGATATAGTTTGGACCGAGCCAGTAACTTTTGACCTAAAGGAAAGAAGGGAGGGTTTGATGAATGGGCCCTAGTCTTCACAGGTGCCTCTGGTCCCGACCCAGACTTGGGATGAAACCAAATGGCCAGCTGGCCTGAACCAAACCCCCACAATCTGAGTGAATATATATATATATATATATATATATATATATATATATATATATATATATATATATATATATATATTATATATTTATATACACACACACACACACACACACACACATATATATATATACAACACACACACACACACACACACACACACACCACACACACACACACACACACACACACATATATATATATATATATATATATATATATATATATGGCACCAGAGTATGCAGTTTGTTGTGATACTCTAACATAATTTCGTTGTTATTTTATATGACAATGACATTCTTTCTGAAATACTTTCAGGTGCCAAGTAGGTATTCAATTAAATAGAAAACCTTAATGTTATAAATACAATAGTAAATGGCAGTAAACAAACCTGATGTGAGAATCCACTCATCAGGACACTGTTTCTGGCCAGTTCACACATGTCACAAGAGCTCAACTTCCACACTTGAGCTGCAATGCTATACTCCTCCATTAGGGGCTCCTGCATACATTACACCACAATATAAAATAACCCCAAGATCTCTTTAAAAACATTTTAAATTAAAGTGAAGGACTGACTGACCTTGGTGAAGTGAAACTGCAGTGGGTCGTCAGTAGACAGGGACACCATGAGGCCACGGGACAGGTACTCGGGGAGGGGGTTACGGTGGTAACTAAGGAACAGGCTGTTATTGCTGAGGGGGGACATGGCAATGCCTATCTGGGCCAAGTAGTACAGATACTGCAGTACAGGAGCCTGGAAGAAAATAGTGATATCTGCTTGTATTATCTTTGACAGCTAAAATGCGTTCTAAGTATGTGTTCTATTTCTTTTAAATACAAAAACATTGCCTTTTCATAGTGATCTATGAATCAATATGTGACTCTTCTATAATAAATATGTAAAATATTCAAATAAACATTCTACTTGCAATTTACGTTGTACCAAATGTTGTCTAAATGTGTATTTTGGTATTATGTGTCTTTTAAGGCAATAGTCTGAAAATAAGCACTAGCATATTTATGTTGCTAATACAAAAATGTTGATAATTTTGTCCCAATTCAAATAAACTCCCTAAACAACTGTCACAATACAGTTTTCCCCTTTGTATCAGTTTGACTATTATGCTTATTCAATGCTCAAAGCATTTCAAAGTGGAATAATTTTGTATGATTACTTTTTTGATACATGGAAGTAAACTGCAAACTTTTGGCTTGTGATTTCTGTACAATAATCATAAGGTGAAAACTACATCGGACCTTACAAAGAACACACTAAAAAGTGCAATGTTGTGATTTGCAATGTGATGGCAGACTCACTCAAGGCTGGATAATCCATTGACCTTGCTGCTGAAGAGTTGTGTTGATGATGGCATTGGACATGGCACACAATGTGACATTGTGTGTCTAAGCATAGTGTTTTACACTACACTCCAATACACTTTTAAATTACTAATGCCATGTCTAAATACACACAGAGCCTCTTCTCACCTTTCTGAGCAGTAGTCCGTGTGAGATATTCTCAGAGAGCATGAACCCAGAGACCAGGTGATGGATGGGCCCTGCCTCGCCACAATGAGGCCGCAGCACCAGAGTGTGGAAGCCCCGCTGCCTACGACATGCAGAGCAAAACAGCAAACTAACTACAGATTACACTGTATGATATTGTACAAGGTTGTGCAGCAAAGGTGTGAAAAAGCTGTCTGTAGTGCTTTTAATATACTGTGATATCTGGCTCAAGATACTATTGATTTTTAATAAGAGAAATCTGATACACTGCTAGAAGCATAACTTTGCCCAAGGTCACAGAGGAAATTGTGTGTCTCTGCAATGCTGAAGAAATCGATATATACAATTTTAATTAGTTAATATAGGTAATCTAAAAAAGTTCTGTGAAATTTAAAGGTGCACTATGTACCATTTTGGTTGGAGGTCCATTCCTGTTTGTTTCTATAGATAAGTCATTGCACTGACAAGAATGTTCTAAAGTATGCATTAAATAACTCTACCTTACATTTCAATTATTCAGTTCAATTACAGGTGGTTTTATAGCTCTGTGAGCGGGTTTGCCTCTCCATAGATCTGACCTGTCACTTGTTCTGGTTTGGGCTCCATAAAGATAGAAAGGTTTAATACCATACTGTGAAATTTTCCAGACAAGGCAATAACATCTCCATGGAAACAAGCATTTGACTGACCCTCCATCAGAAAAGTTGCACAATGCACCTTTAATAAACCTGCCTTTTTTAAAATCATCTTAAATCTACACTTGTGGTACCAGTGTGGCCTTTGTAGTAGGGTGTAATCAATTTGTTATGAGGCCAAGTGATAGTGTTTCTTTCTCTTTTGTAGCAATCTAAACATAAATAATAAAACCAGAGTTCAAAATAAACTGGTTGATTAAAAGGTTAATGATTTTCCAACTTTACAAATGTCTGCCAATGCATTTACTTATGTATCTCTCAAGTGTGTGTATCATTAACTTAATCATGTCATATTTACAAGAAAATCAAGGCATGCTAAATGTGCAAGAGTTGTCACAGCACAAAATTGACACCAATTAACACTCCTCTAATTTGTTTTTTCAAGTGCAAAGCACACTCACAAAAAGATTATGTAATAACTGTTAATCATAGTTGTCTAATTTGTAACTTTGTGAGCATAATTACTTTTTGCTTGTAACAGCAATGCAGAGTCATTGTGACAGCGATTCTGCTTTACTTAATCTTCAAAAGAAGTAAATACAAATACAAGCACTGTGTACCTTAACTTTTGTGTAGCTTGTTTTGTAATTAGCTTTCCTGGTGTTTTATCAGTAAAGTGACCTTGAGAAGGTTTTATTACTTAATATTCCAACTCACTTGCGCAGGTGGTTGAGCACAGTCATATTTGCATACATATAGTAGAGGTAGTAGGAGTAGGGCGGGTTGTCCTCCTCTGTCCAGTTTTCAGGGAGAGGACTGTCTGAATTGAAGATATGTTGCTCTGGTTTGGACTCATCATCAACACTGTCAAAGCCGACAACCTAAGATGTTTATATGCACAAACAGAGGTGGAGAACCAATTAATATTCTCATTAAGTATACGGTGTGGTATTGTGAGATCATGGTGCTATTGATACTTTGCATCAACATTCCTTGGGGACTGTGGGCTCTGAGGTCTCTTAGACTTTAATCTGATCTTTAACACAATCTGACCAGAAACAGCTGATTTGGTTGGAACAGAAGGTGAGTTGATTTGTGCTGTAATACTGTAAAAACTTTACAGTCACAAGCTAGTTAACAGTTTTTCAGTTAGTCACTCTCACCTTTTGGTTGAACTTGTTTTGATCACATGCTCCTGAAAATGTGTTGTTTAAATCCATTTTGCGTTTTTTATGGACCTTTCAGATGATCTTAAAGACTTTTTTGGCAGTGCTTGCTAATGTGTGTATTGTGTCTCCATGGTAACTGGTGAACATTCTGCCAATACATACATGTAGAACACCTCCAGGCAGCATGATGTCATTGCAAAGTATCAATTCACTAATAAGATCTCTAATCGATTATCCCTTATTAATACATTATTTAGAAGAAAAAAAAATTCTCCTGCCCCCTTCTAATAGTGAAGTGTTATATCACATTATAAAGTCTTACATGCTGCAGGAAGAGGTGCAGCTCCGGGTGGCTGCTGGGGTCCACTGTGACCTCGAACAAAGGCATAAAGATGTTTTCTAACATTTCCTGGAAGTTAGACAGCTGTTTCTTTGTGTGGTAGACGTCACTTTGGAGAAAAAAGAGACACATCAGGATTCCAGTCACCATAGTGATATAACTTTACTTAAAGGTGCACTATGTAATTTCTCTGGTTGAGAAAATGTATTGGTTTTCTTGGAATATTCCACAGTGTAGATAAACAGTGACACTATAAAGCCTAGTTACAAGTCAGTTCTATGGAGAGACTACCCTGCTCATAGTAAGAATGCCAGTTTTCAAGGTATTTTTGAGTAATACATTGCAATTGAATAAATTAAAGGAAAGTTAAATAGTACACCTTTAATTATATATGATAAGACAAAAACATTTAAATCTAGTATATATAGAATTCCACAGGTTCTGTAGTTGTCTGTGGGTCTTTGGATTATGCGTAATTCAAAATTTTTAAAATACAGCAGCATTTTGAAACTTTATGACTCAACAACTACTCACAATAATCTTGGAACTTGAACAAGCCAGCGGACGTTATCTGAGTACACCTGATGTTTTACTGCCCACTTGGCCAGTTTGTCCCACTCGTTTCTGGAGCGACCATAAATGGAAAGTCGCAACTCCACGTTTTGGTATTTACTCTCTTCCAGATCAGCCATCACTTCCTAAAAGAGCCATGGCACAGTGAGGTCAGCAGAGGGCGCTAAAGGGACACATTTTCTCTTCACAGTAAATAGGCTAATATTCCATGTATTTATGCAAGCAATTTATGCAAGCACCTTAATGATGTGACCGAAGTATTTGCCCTCTATGTAGTTATCAGTCTTAATGAAGATCTCCCTCAGGATGGACTCTCCGATCGGGTTGTACTTGGAATTGAACTTGTCAAAGCGATGAAAAGTGTTCCTGTCCTGAATACAAATGAGGATACATATTAGCATTTACCAGCAGTGTACTTCAAAAGTGCAGTGCAGGAAGGTAGAGCATCATTTACATAAAAAGCACAGTTAGTAATAATATAAAATGCATTCAACATTTTTTTTTTAATTAATTGAAAAGAAGTGTTTAGATGCATGAAAAGTTACAATGAATGAACATCCACATAGCATTAAGTGCATTATTTAATACATAAATAAATGTACACAATTTATAATATACAAACTAATAATAATGCATAAATCTTATATAGCACTTTTCAATTAAAACATCTAGATTTGATATGGTTGTGTATGTGTGTGTGTGTGTGTGTGTGTGTGTGTCCCTTTTATGTTTTTTGTCTGGAATAGCATAAGACTGTCTCACACTTGTATTGTTTTAATGATATCTATGTCTAAAATCCTCCCAAAAATTATTTCAGATGTAAATTATAGAAAACACTTTTAACTCAAGTACTATTCAGTATCCCTTTCTTTTGCAGCGATCTACAATCATTCATAATACCACCTCTGCCTAGGAAACACTGGTCTATACTCACGGCGTGCATGTCCAGAGTGTCCACGCTGAGGTCGAAGGCTGTGAGGTTCATGCTCTCGAAAACCTCCATCAGTGTCTGGCCCTTCCCACGGTCCATGTGAACGATCTCCTTGAGGTTTTTCTTCATAGCCCTTTTGATGAAGCGTAATAGGTGCTTTTGATTCATACAGGAAGACGCGTGGATGTGTGTGTCGACCTGGATTCAAAGAGAAAGGGGACATTTACATTTCAGAAACAGAAGCCGGGGCCGCTCTGATGCATGAGTAGAAACAGCTGCAGAGTTCACCTTACGGATATTGTAAAAGTCTCTATGGGGGACTTTCTTTTGCGCTGCCAGTTCTTTCATCTCGTTTAACAGGATGTGCATCTGAAACTTGGAGCTCAGGTACTGTAGGCGGCGGTAGCAGAAGGATTTTCTGTGCCAAAGAGTAATATTTACTTAGCTAATTAGACAATTTAACTGCATAATACAATATTGGCTCTAAAAAATCTGAAACAAAACAAGGCCTTCATAGATGCAAACTTTGAGACATGCAAGTCCAGTTGGTTTAGACTAAGTCACTAAGAATGCCTTAATATTATCTCTTTGCCTTTGTAATAAAATAATAGACTGCTGTTTGTCCATCTTTTTCACACTCTAGCCGTAAAAATACCTACATACTAAAATACTCTGTGAGGCTCTTGAGTGTTAATACAGTGTTATTTTAAAATGTTGCTGTGTTTTCCTTACACTGGTCCATTGATGATTAGAGCCATCATCACATTCATATCAGCGATGTACTCCTGCAGGTCTGGATAAGGCAGGTCCAACTCAGTGCTCCTGTTTAAACAATAACAAACATTTTATTTCCAAGTCAAACTAAAGGACTAAAATCACAGTATCTCGTCACATAACCCACTTTTCATTATAACAAACTGATTTACACTCAGTGAGATAGAGGCTAAGATAAACTATATATTCATCTATTCCACAGCTCTTGTTGTCAGTGAAAGATGAGGCTGTCCAACATGCAGAGAATTATGGGTAAACAGAAAAGAAACATCATCCAAGGGCGTCTGACTGCTGATTTGTTTAATCTTATGAGATCTATGTCTGCTACAGGCATCTAAATGTTTCAAGGACTTACACTTAAATTGCTACTGTTATGAGAATGTTCTGAGCATAATAAAAAGAAGATTGTGAGATAAGATTGTAAGCAAAAACATCTTAAAAAAGGAAAGTTTGATCAAAGATATAAGCCATAACATAACTTCATTGATCTAAATTTGTGTTAAAGATGCACTATGAAACATTTTAGTGGAGACTCTGATACCTGCTAACATACAAATATGATTAAATTAGTGCAAAAAATATATAAAAAAAATAAATCAAACACTGCTATACTGTAGAGCATTCCAGGCAATAGTGATACAATTTCAGGCATGTATCTTGAGGTTCAAAAGTGTTTGTTCAGCTTATTTTAAACCTGTATATTCATGGGTTTCAGAATAACAAAACATGGTGCCTGATGCCATAGCAATTAAGAAAATTACAAATTACAAATATACAATAACAATTAAATAAAATTGTATACCTTTTGAATGGAACCTGAAACCCATGAATAAGTACGTATATATATATATATCACAGTAATTGTAATCAGTGTTAGAATACATAGTGGCAAGATGCTTCTATATTTTAAGCCGCTCACTTGTCCATGGTGCCCCTGCTGGTGTACACGTGCATGACGCCGTTCACCATTTTGCACCCATAGCCAACGTCTGGGGGTGTGCTGGAGGGGTCCTGGTTCTCATAGGGGTGTGTTTTGGAGGCAGGTGGGTGCACAGTGGCATCTGAAAGAGACAGCCTGAGTTACATTTGTGAAGGAACTGGGACACTGAGCATACAGGGAACAGATGGGGCGAGGAGGCAGTGGGGGTGTCTTGCTACAAGTTAGCGAGAAAGAAAGACATAATATTCTCTTTTTACACCTGTGATTTTTAGCACTTGCAAACTCATCAACTCATTATCATTATAGTTTTTGAAGGTGGCACTATTTTTTATGAGAAAGAAAATATTGTCAGTCTTTCTCTAAGCTATGTACAATAAATTACAGATTGAAATGTATAGTTTATTTTTTAGGTTTATGTTGTCTACTTATGTAATAATACTAGGCCTGTCATGTTAAAAATGAATGAGATCAGGATTAGTTTGTTTTTTCTTTTAATCACCATATCACTAGCCCTGTATGTCTGTACCAGCAGTGCTTGTGGTTTCAGGTATCTCCTCTTCGTACAACTCCAGATCCAGAGGTCTCTCACTGAGCTCCTGAAGGAACCGAGCGGTCGTCCGATAAAAGCTCTGCAGAGACAGACCCATATACTTCTGTCTGATGAACAGAGCCTTCACCACACACTTGGCTGCATCCAGAAGGTCTATGAAAGGAACCTGCACACGGGGAAAACAATGGATACACGTTATAATATTGAACACAAACCAAATAGACAGTGGTTTTTAATTTAGCAAAGATTAAAGATTCCTAAGAGTAGAAAACAAGGGGAACACTTACCAAACATATATATATATATTTTCTACTAGTCAAAGCATATGTTTACTAATATTATTATTTAAAGTTTTATTACTATTCTACTAGTGATTTCTCTTGTGCATTAATACTGATGCCAAAGCCTCTGACATTTCTATAATTCAGTGGAGCAACTATTGTCATCACAGTTCAAAACTGATTAAATGCTAAATAAATTAATTAATGTGAAGGTCCTCCTGTATTAATAGTTTTATAGTTGAGGGTTTCACTTAAATACAGAAAAGAAGGCTAAAACTTGAATATGACAATTACACATTTTTTTTTTTTTTTTACATCTAAACCTTGTTTCCATAACCTTAATTTAAGATTAGTGCATTTACTTAATTTGACCAGTTGTAATGTGTGATAGAAATGATGAACAAGGGAAAAGAGAACTGGATTTCAAAAAACACAAATTAAACATAAAGACCCTTGTCATCTCCAGGCTCCATCAGTCCATACACAGGCCAAACTTACTACTCATCATAGTTATTCTGCCCATAATGTATTTTGTATTTCAAATTTTCCTTGTTCTACCTTGAAAGTCTATTTTACTGTAACACCTTATTATATGCAAGCCTTTTATTTGATAATAGTTTATATTGTACATTTATGGTTCTTGTATTATGTTGCACAGTGTTGCTGAAGCAGAATCCTAGTTTGAGCCTTACCCCACATTTCTCCTCTCCAGAAATAGTGACTCTCTGATACTCTCTCTCTGGGACCAGCTCTCTCTCCTGAAAGTCAGGCGCCTGGCTCTGCTCCTTCATGTATCTAATGACAAATCAATAACAAAGATCACATTCATCTGGTCGCCGTGGGAACAATGAAGCAATAATACTAGGACTTACTCCAGATCAGTGGCACTGTCAGTCTTCATGAACTCCTGTTTAGCGCGGAGGAGGATGTCAGGCTCGAACCTATGAGTACAGGTGATATATTTATACAGTTTTTTGTATTCAGTACGGTGCACTATAGTCATTTTGCTATGCTATTTCTAATCTTATGCAATCCAATGAGATAGTATTATACTAACATGGATCTAACATGCAATGTGTTTTATGAACCTTGAAACCCTCAATAGAATATGTTTGTGGTTACTAATGTTGTCACAATGCTAAGATTTCCACAGAATTATACAATATAATGCAATTTTCTACACAAAATAATAGTTTTATTCAACATTTCCATCTTTATGTAATTTCCTCATTATCAGGACATGCTTTAATGAATATCTTGTTACTAATTGTTTTAGTATTGATAAGTATTTGTTTATAGATTTTAAAGATATTTTATTATCCCTCCATATTAAACAAAATTACACTTATGTATTCTATTGGACAAGTCTTATACAATATTCATGTGTAAAAGTCATACTTGACATCTTGGCTGATCTGGCGCTCAAGGCGGTGTCGTCTCTCCTCCAGTTTTTCGATGGGACTGTCCTCCGGAAACTCGTACGGGGCACTTCTCATCTCACTCTCAGCCAGACTGCGGGAGAATAACTCCTGTACACACATGGACAGTTTTCATTTAAAACAATAATAATTCAATAGAAGCAAAGCATGAACAGCCACAACTGTGTACACAAAATGTTCTACATGCAATCCCAAATGGCAAGTGTGGGAGGTGTTAGATCCACTATAGACTGAAAATGCATTCTATTTCTCAAGAAATATAGGCCTACCTATTAGGCCTGTCACCATAACAAATTCTGAAGCAAGATATACTGCTACAGATGTATACTGCGATAAACGATAATACAGAAACTACATTATGTCACTGATACAATAACAAGTGTAAAAACAATACATTTTAAATGTCCAGTATCATTAAGAGGCATGAGGTGCCACAAATAGATAACAGATTAAACCAATAATTTGCCAAATAAATCACCTATTTAACATTTGACATCTTAAATGTAATTGTGTTACAACAAAAAATACCCCAAATCTCCCCATTTTTTTACCCCAAAAATGTTCCAGCTATCATATAATGAGCAATAAGTCGATATAATAATTATTGTGACAGGTATACTATGTATTTTGAAATTATTTCCATAGAATAGCAATCAATTTTGATGCATGATTGAATGATATATATATGTATATGTATGTATGTATACACACACACACACATATATATGTGTGTGTGCATTATGTTATGTACATGCAATAAAGGATGATTTGTTAAACTGTGATGTGTGCTTATTAGGCTTTATCAGACCCTGACAACTTCATCCAAATTACCATGAACACACTTTTCTCAGATATTTGATCGGTACCTCTGCAATCTCCTTGTATTTCCCGTCCATGGATGTGCGCAGGTCAATGGTCTGTTTCAGAGCCACTGGGATCCCGGGTAAGGAGTGCTGTGGAGTGAGCAGGTGCCGCTTACCACGAGGATCCACTGCTGAGAGACAGAAGGAACAGAGGCAGAAAATTAAAACAATGCATCTATTCTGTTTTGTTTACATTATTTGGATTTGTTTCAGTTCAGAAACCTGTTGCCAAAAGCTTGTTACAAAACTATAGTCTAATTCAGTGCAAAATAATAATGCATGTTTCACTCACTCCTGTTATGTTAAAGGGACAGAAAGAGAGGTGCTGGCCAGTGAGACTTGTTTGGTCTTTACTCCTGAGTCTGCTCTGAGCTCAGCGGCTGTTTGTACCTCAAGACACAATGGAGCATTCAGGTGGAGAGCCATCAGCACATCACCAGCTAATACCCTCCATTGTTCCACTGCACCGGGAGTTTATACGCACCCAGTTGTCATGGAAAGCCAAGAGGGACAAACAAGTGGAGGGTCTTTGAGAGGGGCAGCTGCCAGCCTTGCCACACTAGGGAAAGATTCAGACTCTGGACAACAATGATATTAATTGTCCTTCTGTAATAATGCACCTGCTGCTGAAATATTTAAAGTCTTGCTAAATATTTAATCCAGTGAAGTGCTAGAATGACAGCTCATCCTTTATTTTTAGACTATAAAGCCAGAGACAGCGGTCATCCAAGGCAAATGTAAACAGAACATAACTGAATCATGATTTTTAATGAAAAGTATGTATGTTTGTTTGCTTTGTTTTGTTTTATTTTTTATTGACAGGAACGAGGTAGTAGCTGGATTAAAACATGAGCATGGCAAATTTGCTTTGGCCAGGATTCAAACCCTCCACAGCACATCTCTGTTATTTAATACGAGAAAAACAAGATAGTAGAAGTAAACAGTAGAACAATAACATAGTGTGATTCCAATGACAAGTGTAATGCAGGAGATGTAATGATATGACTGCCATTGATTTGTCTATCCACTTGTAAACACACTGTTGCTAATGGAGTACATTGCCAGTTAACAGCTGTCTTTACAGAGAGGAAGCTAATCATGGCATACTCCGCACTGTGTAGTGTATCAGCACAGAAAACAAACAGACAAATTAGCAAGCATTGTTTTGGATTTATACAAAAAATCGAACATGTGAAAATAAAACTCTTTTTTGCATAACATTGTTTCTATAATGAGAGGTAGTGGCTCAATTATTTGCCAAAACTCAGCATGTGCTCCTCACCTTCTGCTGAACACTGTCCAATCAACACGTCCTCCTCAACACTAAGTTTCTGTGATGCACAAACTCTCTCCAGCGTCCTAAAAATCCCAAAGTAATCCAATCTGACCTTTTACAATGAATCTTCCCACACCTTTTACAAGAGCTCAAACATTCACGTCTTTTGTATCTGAGCAACAGTGAAACTAATTGGCCAAGGACTAGTGCTCCGAGACAAGACTTGGTTGAAAATGAATAGGATCAGGCAATTAGGTGAAAAAGCTCTTCTGTGTAATGAGCAACAAAGTGCAAAAATACTCCTTATGAGATCAGATCGGGGACTTGTGCAAATAGTGGGAGGGGGGCTGTTGCAGATTAGACTGACAGTATGCACAATATTACTGCATTTCTAAAACTAATTCTAACCCTTTTGTTTTTAATTTATATAACCTTTAGTTAACCCAGAAAGTCCCACCGGGATTTAAACCAGGGGAGACCTAGCTCCAGAGGGGACCCTTTTGTACATGATTTTTAATGGTTGGGGAAACTGGAGCACCCGGAGGACACAGACAAAGAGAGAACACTCCACATAGAAACACTCCATCTAGTAATCAAACTTGGGACTTTCACATTGCCACTGGTCGAATGTGTGCAATGTACATTCAGGTATTGCCAAATGAAAATGCTTGCAATATGTTACTGGCAGAAGATTTGAATCTATAGACTTGTTTTGCCTCATTAAAACAAGTTAGTCAAATTGATATATACTATTATTTCAGTATCAGAGGTCATATAAAAAGGGTGACTGCCAATATGTAGTACTCATTGAGTCATAACAACATGTCACACTGAACCATCTGTTAAGACTTAATAAGTACAGTGCAAAGGGCAGCTACTTAGATGAAAACCTGTAGGTGAAAAGGTCGACTGTTTGTAAATTTACAACACCATGTAATGCATCAGAAACAATGAGAACTGTACCAAAAAATATAAATTAATAGAGGTTATAGTAAACCTAAATCATATACTCAACTACCAGTACATGACACACAAAATTGTTTGAATATAAAAAAGATCATATTTTAGCTTATGCAACACAGAAGATTTTTAAATAAGTTCCCAAGGTGTTTAAACGTGGACCAACTGTACATGGTACATAAAATAGTTATAGTAATAGTAATTTTTATCCAACAAAATTGAATTTCTTCTTACAATATATCCCATTCTACACAACTCAATATACACATTTTACATCAAATTTGCAAGTGAAAGTTTCAAACCTAGATCAAATTATGTCAATGGCTGTAATTTCATAATAGCACCATGATTCTTGCCATACATTTGAAATATAGATGGTAAATGGTCACATTTTTATAAAGTGCTTTTCCACCTTCAAGGCACTCAAAGTGTTTTACATCAAGGAGCCATTCACTTCATCTGTAGGAGCTGGATTCACACCGCCAACCAGTGGGTCAATGGATCTGACCACTCAACCAATGATGTTTAGGTCGAGCGCAGGATTTGAACCGCCAACCTGGGGATCAGGTGACAAACAATCAACTAAGCCACTAGGTCACTAATTGCCATATAAAAAATACTGGAAAGAAGTCTTAGCCAGTTAAGTAAAGTTCAGTTATAAAACCATGACAGTGTATTACAGAGGGCCTATGTGTGATGCAATAAGCAGCAGTCTGAGTCTTATCTGTGTTTGCTCAGATAACGCCAGGCGACAGAGAGGGGTGCAGGATGCGACCATCGGCAAAGACATCCATGCAACCCAGGTCACACAAGAGCCAGGGCAACCAGACCCTGGGCTAATCCCCTAATGGATGCTATATTTGGATACTTGCATCTATAGTTACATAACATCTCATCCTCCACTCACAAGCAAGACACTGGAAATTAAACTCATAGACAGCTTCATTCAATATGTGCATTGTAATCTGAATTGATCTAAAAATACATAAGGATAATAATCTTTGTAACATGTTCCACAGAGGAGGCACTAAATCCTTGCTCTATTTTTCCTCTAAGCTGCAAAAAGAGGTCAAATAGTATCAGCTTGCTGACCGATTTCCACAACATGCATATTTCATCAGAAAAAGTCAGAGCTCAAAACTGGGTGAGGAGAGGTGCAGAGATAGAGAGGAAATAGTAGAGTTTTAGTTTAAGCATGGGCTTTAGCAGGTCAAATATCAGGAGTCCAAAGGTTGAGGCTGCATCCCTGTGCATCACTATGTTCAGTTATTATCATGTTAGTTACTCGCGCTTCATACGTGCAGTCATTCATAATACATCACCAATAATAATACCATGCAGGCATAATATTACTACTAAATATCTAATATCTAATATTACCAATGATTACCACTTGAAAGGTTCTGTTAGCTGAATGCCATCTTAAAAATGTTTATGTTAGTTCCAGTTGTTCATTATAAGACATTGCTTTAAGATATGTTTTTGACTTTTGTTCAAAATAATTTATTCTGTCTTATTTCTTATTTATTTATTTGTAAAGGGACAGCACATATTAATGAGCATTTACAATGTAAATATGTAAAGATAATAGCCAGCGTGGCTAATTTCCATCTTCAGTCCCTCAGCAGGTTGATGTGGAATCATTTACAGAACAGGGAAATGTACAGCAACAATCATACAAAAGTACATAACACCAGCACACTCATTATACATACAACACACTCACTGTACACTCACTGTACTGTTCAATAAGGTTTTATGCACTTCACCTTTCACTGCCATGTTAACTGATCACAAACGACCAATATCTGGAGGCCCAGTCCTCTGTTTGTTTGTACACATCAGCCGCACCTGTCGACCTGCTTGTTTTGCACATTTGGTTTCCAGCCCACACAGAGCCCCTTGGACTCAGAGTGCCCACTGTAAGTGCCTCTCACTGAAAACAACCTGTACCAACGCAACTGCAGAGGACAGTAAACAAGGCAATCACATAAATAAATACAAAATAACAGCTGGTCTGTCATCATGCCCAGCTAGCAGAAACATTTATTCACTAATTTTCACCACCAGGAACTCAAATTAGTGGTGTGTGTTTTATCACTTTGTGTATCTTTAAAAGGCCTTCAAAGCTACCAACTGTAATTAGATTGGCCGACCCACTCCTGCCAGGTGCCAGGTGAGAGGAGGAGGAACAGGTTACACATCTGCCATCTGCCAATTGGAGGAGTGTGGAAAAGTGTTTAATCATAGCTGCATTTAACAGAGGAACTCAATCACAATATGATAATATCAACAAAATAGAACCGCCACATGAATCAGATCATAATTAACCATGTTACCGCCATATTGCCCAGCCCTAACTATCATAATCAATTTATTTTTATTTCAGTATTGACAATTAAAGAAATAAATATTTTTGTAACTCATTACGTAATCCACACAGCATAACTGAAGCCAATATAACGTCTTGAATCAGAGGTATCCAAGGTAACTTTCAAACCTTGCAACAAACTTTCAAACAAGTTGTGTGAGACACTGTAACTTCAATGTTTGATTTATAAATACACAGAGTAGGTGGTGTCAGCACAGCAACCCATTTGTTAGATCTTGGTATTATTATGAACTCATGAAGAAACTTTTTGAACCAAGAGCCAGTACATAACAAAGCTCAGTATATATTACTATGAGTATAAGGAGAGGCCAAAGATGTGCAAAACACTGTACGGTTTCTTCTGGACTCATTTGAATCTCATTAAATGTTTTGTATTTTAATGCATTATATATACAGTAATTAAGTATTGGATGATTTCCTAATCATCTTAAAATCAAAGCAATGGAATTTCACTTGACAGAAAAGTAAATACCTCTAAGACTGTCCAACTCATACAGTAACAC